ATCACTTTACTTACATGATCCTATGGTTGCTGTAGTCTTTTGGATTTCCTTTCTTGAAGACTGGAATTTATAATGAATGTTTCCAGTTTGTGGGCCATTGCTTGTTTTCCATATTTGTTGGCATATTCTTGTTAGGATTTGAACTGATTCAATTTCTGTAGCTTGGAATAGTTCTCTTGGTATCCTATCAACTCTGGGTGCTTTATTCCTCCCTGTGCTTTCAGAACAGCTGTTGCTTTACTTTCAAATATTGCAGGACCTTTCACACACAAACCCTCTTTGAAGAAGTTCGTCGTCTCTTCACCTCTTCTGTATAGTCCATTTGTCTACTGTTTCCACCTTCTCTGTATTTTTCCTGGTCGAACAGGATGTTCCCTTATTGATCTTTCAGAATTTCTAATCTAGGTTTGAACTTCCTTTGATGTGCAGAAGTATTCAGTGTTGGAAATAAGTAATGCAGCAATAAAACTGTAGGCTTGATGGGACTTTGTAGCAGAAGTATCAGAAATAACTGAGTTGGGAATCATATAAGCTACACTGTTTCCTAGCAGGACTGTGTTCTGTATTGACCTCCTGTTGTTTCTTGATATAGCCTCCAGTACAGAGAATGCTGTACCATACTTAAACTGGAAGTATTTCAGTCCCATTGAAGTGAATGGGACTTAAGTTTGACTAACATTAAATGGAACCTTTTAAAATAAATATTTAAATTAGTCCTGCTTTGACTAACAAAACCTCTAATTCTTCTTAGTATTTTACTCATGTTGATACAGATTATGCAATTCCCAATGTCCTGCTACCTTTCCACAAATAGAAAATAAAGGAATAAAGGGGGGAACCAGGTAGCTACTGAGATTCTCCTCCAAATACAATTTTAATCTGTAGAAGAATATGGTACAAAAATTTCATGTCAATGTCACAGGAAATGACAATGATAGACAAGGACAGCTGCCTATTATATAAAGCATAAAACAGCAGAAGCCTCTTTTCGTGTGTTCCAGAAAAGAGTTTCAGCTTCTACTTTTAAATAAATAAGTTTCTGAGACATCCAAATCTGAGAACTATGATTAGTGAGATCAGAACAGAATCAAATCATGATCTGAGATTCTGGCTTGCTTCATTAGCCATAATTTAAACTGGGGTGTGTGTAAGGTCTGAATTTCACCGTGGAGATGGCTTTCCAGTGGCTGATGGGGCTGAAGGAAAAAGAACAACTGTATCACTATATTTTTAACTTAAAGCTCTCGTCAAGTACCTAAGCCTTAGGAGAGGCATTTAGAATGGGGGAATATAGAAATCACTCAATAAGCGGCTACCAGGGAAAATATGTTAGGAAAAGGGGGCTTGCTATCTGAGCTCCAGAGGGTGCCTCCTAATCCTCAGCCCTTATTTTAACAAAAATGGTACACACCATGGTGAACTTGGTTTGGTTTACAAAGCAAAATGGAAGTTTACAATATCTTCTTAGAGTTGAACGGAGCCTATCAGGCCATCAAGTCTGCCCCCCACTGCACTTCTATATGTGGTGACCCATCTGACAGCAGGCCTGCACATTTCCAGCTTAGCAAAGGTAACTAGACAAGCAGTTGCTACATAGCTAAGCAGGCAAGCCATTATCGAACCTTTCTGTTAGCTATACTTGTCTTCAAGCCAGAATAGCGCAAGGATCTTTCTTTATAATGTATAAATAGATATAATCCAAAATAGGAATATATGTGAACATAGTGAACAAATGAAAGCCAAGTTCATATTCCAGGGACTTTGTTTGGTATTAATCTGTTATCCCTGCCTCTATCTTTCTTCATTCTGTTCAAAGGGTGTGTTTGTGTGTGTGTGTGTGTGTGTGTGTGGGAGGGAGGGAGGGAGGGAGGGAGGGAGGGAGGGAGGGAGGAGCTGCTTATATGAAAGAGTCTTCCTTCCAGAGACAGAAAGAAAGAGAGAAAGGGAGGGAAGCTGAACTTCTGGCTTCTCTTTGGGAAAATAGGAAAATACAGTTCTTGTATGAAAAGACAGGTGAAGAAAGAGGCCTGAGCTGTGACTTACAAGATACCTCTCTCCTTTCTTGGCTTACAGTGTAGAGTCAGACAGAAGGAGAGAAGAAAGCAGCAGATCCACCCACTGCAGATTCTGTATGCTGGAGAGTCAAACCTCCTGCTTCATCTAGCCTATAATGGCGACACAGGTGAGGAATAAGCACCCAGTTCACTGACGTTTCTTCAAAGAAGTGATTATCCCGTATATTACTAGATATACTTATTTATTTATTTAGAAAATTTATTTAGAAAATTTCTATGCCGCCCCATTCACCGAAGCCTCGGGGCGGCTCACAAAACATTAAAATATAATACATTAAAAATATAAAACGAATTTACAATATAAAATAAGTCGCCCTGGCCAAAGAATAAAATAAGGAAATAATATTAGCAATTAAAATGACGTTTGAATAAAAAGGTCTTCGCCTGGCACCGAAAAACAAATAATGACGGCACCAGGCGGACCTCTCTGGGGAGCGCATTCCATAGATTGGGCACCACCGCAGAGAAAGCCCTCCTCCGAGTGCTTACCCTCCTAATTTCCTTCACGGAGGGTTCCCGGAGATATTGATATTAATAGATTTGTTTTTAAAAAATAAAAGAGTCTGAAGAGGTGCTCTACCTTCTTATCCATATTTCTGGAATTGTATAAGGCATTGGAGAATTTCTGTAAATCCTCCATTCACAAGGATGCTAATCTTCTCTCAAAAGTCCTTCATTAAATGCCTTCCTGCAAATACAGCAGAAGCGTATGAATACATTTGGGTGTGCTGCTTTCCAGAACTGGCACACTCAACTGCACCACATGGAGAGGGGTGTTAATCTTATCTTGTGCTAGTCTTGTCTTCCCAAACAGGACGAACATTCTCCATTGTATATATTAAACCTGCTCATTAAAAACCTTTCTGAATTGATTAGTGATTGATGTCAAATGAACCCAAAATGGAAGAGATGTAAAAGGGATGGGAGTGGTAAATCACAGGGACCTGCTAGGAGGGAACATACCAACAATTCCTACCACAAGGCATCTATTTCTAAGTAGAAGGGAAATGGAAGAGCGTAAGTTAGCAAGAAAATGTAATTATTGTTTATTTTGGTTTAAATAGTGAACAAGAAGAATTTTCCATGGATCAAGAAGATAAAGGTATGTAGAAGAACTAAAGGATATGTCTCAATCTACAAGAGGAATGGAGAGCAGAAATTGCTCTTGGTTTTTTGCACTCACCACAACCAGAAAGACATCCTGACAGAAATGTCAACAGACAACACTCCTCCTACAGCCATCAGGAAGAAAATAATTCACATTTAGAGGATAGCGTGGGGCTAAAATAGCACCCACATGGACACACAACAAAGAATCTTCTCCCTTGGAGAGTGCTCCTTTGTAAATCCCTGTATAATCCAAATGAGCAGATCTGCTTTGAGTACTTACCTGCAAACAATGTAAATTTATGCAGCAATGTGGTCTATTTCCCTTCTACCTAATCCTTTTGTTTTCTGATTCCAATACAGAGAGACAAACTTTAAGATAATCGAAAGGGCTCATGCAAAACTGTCTTTTATATCAAAGTTACTGCTTTAGCTAAATTATGCATCTTCTTTTGCTTTAGAAAATGAGTCTGCATATACTTTAACAGAAGCACTTTATTTCTTAAACCTGATTGCAACAATAAAGCTTCTGAGATGGATTCCTGTAACCTAAAATGCCTTGATCTTACGAAAAAGAATTTTCATTATTTTTCCTTTCTTCACAGCATTATGAAGAGTACATATTTTCAAAGCTTTGACTAAAATAACCCTACCAAATAAGTTGGCTATTTTTAGTACTAATTTCATACTTTACTGCAATGGCAAACATCCCTATTCAGAGGGAAAAGAGAGATGATTTAAACATAAATTTACATGTGATAGTAGTATAAGGAATCCACTAACATCTTTTTTCTTTTAAACATTCACATATATTCCATGCTTTTTTACCCATTCTCATATATGAAATGCATGACTATTTCCTATATTGAACATTGTATATTGTATATTGAACATTTGTATATTTATAACAAATGGAAAAAAGAATCTTAGTAATAACAATAATGCAGCAACACAACTACACTTGGAAACAATTTCTTAGGACACAATCCCATGCAATGTAGGTCAAAAAAAAATCTCCTGGCATGTCCCCTTAGGCAGCTTTTTTCTTTCCAATAGGATTGCAATTTTAGCCTCTAACCTTCAAAGGTTTTTTTAAACAAGATAAAATATTTAAATGATCCAAGGTTGATTACAGACTATTTAATTTCAAAATATCAATTTGTTGTGGTACACAATAAGTTGGATAGATAGACAGACAGACAGACAGACAGACATTTAAAAAGGATCCATTATTTGAAAAGAAAAAATATTTTTATGCAAAAAAGACTTTAGGAACACTCTGTTAGGAAACAACAAATCAAGATTGTTCTGCTTTTGTGAAAGCTTATAATATACTTCATAAAATGTAGGCTATCTCACTGTAGCTTCCAGGTAAACAAAAAGTCATAATCAAAGTACATTGTTTATATTACTAGTTTCTATGGATTTTAGATTTTATCATTTCACCAATTTACATTTAGATGACCTGTAAATTAAAGAAACATATTTTCTTAGGTTTGCAGTTTCTATTCTTTTCACCTAATTCCAATGATTTGGGTCTGTGCCCAGAAGCTTTGAGTCATCTGTTGAATTGCCCATAAGCAGGGGCTTCCCAAGTCACCCCAGCACTGTATCTTGCACATGTCAATGAGTTGATTATACAGACCTCCCCCTGGCAAACCATTAAATGGAACAGTTCCTCCTTAGATCAGGGACCCACAGAGATTTTCATCATGGCCAAAGACTATACTTCAAGTTTATTCTTTTGCATAAAAGAAAATACATTTTCTGGTAACAGTCTGCTGATAGACAGATCCCTGTCCTTTCATAGCAACATACCTGGGTTTGGATTCTGTTCAGCCCTCTGAACCAAAGAATTTGTCCACGCCGGAGCTCTCTCTCTGCATGGTCAATCTCTTCTACATCTTCATTCATCTCCTCTTCAGGCACTTCTTCTTTCAAAGTCAGGCCTCCCGCTTCCTTTAAAAATTTTAACCGACTTGTCGGGATGGTTGCAATGACCTGAAAATAAGTGTGATAGCTATGACAATTGAACAGAATGTTCACTGGTCAGAATATGTACTGATATTATACAAAGCAGACCGCACAAGATAAAAGACACAAGATTATCCTCGTGATGGTGCCTGGCTTCAGGAGCTCTTGAATGTGGCTCACACGTGGCACCAGTGGCAGCAACCATACCTTGAATGGCTTTCACCTCTACCTATTTGGCTACTCCACTCATCTGGCCTTGTTTGGCTTTGCAGAATGCTGGAAGCTGTAAGGCTTTAGCTGCCTAAATGGCAAAAGTCCTCAGACAGTTTTATCTAAAGCTCAGAAAATCTGATTTTAAGGTTCTAGGGTACTGTGTGATAGCCTGCATGGCACACCGGGAATTCAGAGTTGGTGCTGACCTGTAAAGCCCCAAGTGGATGAGACAAGAGTCTCCAATGACAAGCCTCCTCCTTGTGCATACCAGCTCAGACTCTTAGATCATCATGAGACTCCCAAAAGAACCTAGGAGGGTTGCTACAAGGGTGAGGGTCTTCTTAGCAGGGTTATTTATTTTTATTTATTTAGTAAAACATTTTTATGCCGCCCCATTCGCCGAAGCCTCGGGGCGGCTTACAACAATAAATTAAAAAATAATTATAATATTAAATTAAAAAATATAAACATTAGATTAAAAATACAAAAATACCAATATAAAATAAGCCACCCTGGCCAGATAAAATCCAATAATATTAACAGTTAAAATGCTGCTTAAATAAAAAGGTCTTCGCCTGGCGCCGAAAAACAAATAACGACGGCGCCAGGCGGACCTCTCTGGGGAGCGCATTCCATAACTTAGGCGCCACCGCAGAGAAAGCCCTCCTCCGAGTACCCACCCTCCTAATTTCTTTCACGGAGGGTTCCCGGAGAAGGGCCTCTCCCACCGATCTCAAGGGGCGGCCGGGCATATATGGATGTAAGCGCTCCTTCAGGTAACCAGGACCCAAGCCGTTTAGGGCTTTATAGGTCATCACCAACACCTTGAATTGGGCCCGGACTTCAATGGGAAGCCAGTGAAGCTGACGGAGAACTGGAGTCATGTGAACTTAACGCCCAGTCCCTGTCAGCAGCCTGGCAGCTCTATTTTGAACCAATTGAAGTATCCGGACCGTCTTCAAGGGTAGCCCCACGTAGAGCGCATTACAGAAGTCAAGGTGGGAAGTCACCAGAGCATGTGTCACTGTCGCGAGGCAGTCGTACTCCAGGTAGGGGCGCAGCTGATGAATCAGCCGAAGCTGGAGGAAAGTGCTCCTCGCCGCTGCTGTCACCTGAGCTTCCAGTGAAAGCTCCGGGTCGAGGAGCACTCCCAGGCTGCGGACCTTGTCCCTAAGAGGGAGTGCAACCCCATTCAGGACATGGTTCAATTCACCCTCTCCAAAGCCCGATCCACCAACCAACAGGACCTCCGTCTTGTCTGGATTGAGCTTCAGTTTATTGGCCCTCATCCAGCCCATTACCTCGGCCAGGCACTGGTTCAGTACAGCCACTGCCTCACCTGGATTGGTGGAAAACGAGAGGTAGAGCTGGGCATCATCAGCGTACTGATGATTCCGCAGCCCACACCTCCTGATGACCTCTCCCAGCGGTTTCATGTAGATGTTGAACAGCAAAGGGGACAAAATGGACCCATGGCATATTATCCCACTTATGAATTAAACTCCCCACAAAAGGCCACCTGATCCCTACATTGGCGTCTATTTTGGCACCAGGCAAAGATGTTTCTTTTCTCCCAGGGATTTAGAATTCTAGTTCTACGTTATTATGGCCATTTTACCAATTCCTATTCTGTCTATTGTTTTTGATATTGTTTTATTAACATATTTGAATTGCATTTTATATTTTAACTGTTTTTAAAAAAGGAATTTTTGGCTTTTTACTGGTTCTAATCAGCCTAGAGAGGATTAGTCATAGACTAATGTACTAAATAAATAAACGAAGCATATGAACCTGGGAACAAGGCAGATACATCATCCCTGAATTTAACCAAGCTCTCAAGGCCTGCTCTGCCAAAGCCACCTGGTGGACCACTGTGGGAAACAAGATGCTAAATTACATAGACTTTTGATCTGGGCCAGTAGGACTCTTGTGCTCCTAAGCTTCTGACCCTTAGTGAACAAAAGGTTATGTTTTATATTCCTTTTGGAAGTAACTTGTAGCCAAAGTTACTGGCAGTTCTCTTCTTTAACTACAGTAACTAGGAATACAAAACATCTTTTTTTGGGTGGGTGGTTATCATTTTTAGTTTCAAGGGAGACACACAAAAACAAAACAAATACGTAACTACCTCAGAAGTCTCCTTTTAAGAATGACTTTCAATTCCACTGAAAATCATAAGCTTATGCTTTTGAACATGGGTTTATTTGCTTTACTGTTTTGTCTAATTATAGAGTTACCCTCTCTGCTTTTCTTGAAACTTATGTTGCTGTTAGCCTTTCTCGTGAAGACATTCCAGCATGCATATTTATTTGGAAGAAGAACTGTTTTATCACGGACAGAGATTTTATACATGCGTATAAAACAATAAAGTGAGAATTGGTGTATGGCCTCAGCTGGCCGATCTCCAGCTATAAATTCATTTAAATGGGACGCTGCATTTCACGACAGCAGCCATGGAGGGCTGTGAATCGTGGTCCTATGCCACCACTTGGGCTGCCCCATCATCTGCTACTTGCAGAAGTTACTTTGTGGCTTTCTGAGTAGGTGGGTTTGTTTTGGACTCAAGGTCCAGGCCTATCTGAACCACTTTTTTTTTGTTTTTTTAATGTTAGTTGTCATACACCATACAGAGTTTCATTTAGTACATCAAATATCATGCTATCAGTTTGAAAAGCTATGGATCATCATGCTCCAGAAGCCTGGGGACAGAAAAGTAGCCTAGGCATGTTAATGTAAGCAAATGGGTACAACTTTGTTGCAATCTGGCAAATAGCATTTCTGTTCTGCGAAAGTTTATTGCTTCCTGCAGGGGTGTTCAGGGCAGGGGGTGCCAAGGGGCAGTTTACTGGGGGCTCTGTAATGGGGTTCCTAGGCTGATTCCAGCCATATTCCTGGCCTCTGCCACAGCCCTGCATTGTGCACTAGAATCCCAGTTACGCATAGGTCCTGGTAGGGGGCAGCAGTAGGTCCCCAACATTACATCTGCTGTCTCCCCATAAATTCTTCAGGTACCCCTGGCCTACTGTGGAGAGGAAAAGAATCAAGATCAGTTCAACAGCCAAGATATTTTATTCATCAAAGTTTTAAACTCAGGCAATGCAGACTCTGGTTCCTCACCGATCGTGGAATTTACAGGGTGACTCTGAGTTCTTTTGAGTGCCAAATAGAAGAATCCACATGTGTTGCCTTAAACATGTTTAAGTCATGCTTTAATAATATTTTAATATTTGAAAATATGTTAATGTTTGAGATTGTTTTTTGTTACATTGCTATTGATGGTGTTGATGGTTCATGAATGCAAACGGTTCATGAAAACCTAGGGCATTAATCAGTTGGGTGGTGTGTAATAAAACAAACAAAAAAAGAATTCTTTTTTAAATAAAATAGAGATCCATCTACCATAGGCGGCAGCTAGAATCCCACATCCTCACAAAGACTTGAATTTGGTGCTTTTGCATTTTCTGGACCTTTCAAGCATTTGTTTGATCTGTTTTACAATTCTTCATTTTTACCATCAATGACAAGTATGTGAGGCATTTAAAAAAATAAGGCACAAGTGGCTTCCAACACTTTCCTTCTTCAATTTATAAGTAGAAATATTTAATCTAGAAAATATCATTACCTTTGTCATTGATATGAAGTAAGTGATGCTTACCTGACCCCAGACAAGTTCACCTAATCCAATAAATACACACCACATCCATTGGTCAAGTTGCAAAGGGGAACAGCTAAAAGGTTTCCCACCAAACTGTACTATTACTATCTGTAAAGGGAAAAATGAAAAATGATCCAGTTACTAACCAGAACAGGAAAACAGGTCTGGAAGAATGTTTTTCCATAAGCAAAAATATTTTATTTCTGGATATGAATACTATCATTTATTATTTTTATCTCTACTCCTTGCAAGACAGTATTACACAAAACATGGAAAAATAAGTCATGAAATCGTCTGTTATGTACAAAGACCAGCTAAAGATGCTTGTCATACTGAAAGTAATGATAAAAGCTAGTCACATTGATTTAAGTCCCATGCTTCTAACAGTGCATACATTCCCTTTTTCCATTTTAGGAAACAAATGGGAAATTAGGAGCCTTCAGTCTCAGGCTTTCATCTGTAACAAAGCAGTGGAAGAAAGCAGCTTTCTTAGGAAAGACAAAGGAATATTTGGACTACGAGTAAGTTAGGTCTTCCAGTGTGGTTTTTCTGAAATTTGACTGGAGACTTAATCTGACAAACTTCTGATTTATCTTGCCATTGAATGTCAGGCTAGAGTACCTTTCTTATTCTCTAGTTTTCTATTAAGTTCCACCAGCACCATGAGGTGGTCTGACTGAGAAAGAGATTTACCTCACCAGCAGGTTGTGTTAATTGGCCTTTGTGGCACAGCCGTTTTGGAATGCGACTTACTGTTGCCCGTGCTGGCTGTGGATGTAAGTTGTACACCACATGTGAAGGGCATTAAGCTTTACGGAATTCATACTGGAAAAACGGGGAACGGTTCACTGATCTCCCATTCATTAAGGTTTCCTTTGACTTGGTTATATGCAGTGCCTTGTGGAAGTATTTACTCCCCTTTGACTTTTCCACATTTTGCTGTATTACAGCCTGGAACTGGAATGGATTTCATAGGAATCGTTACAACTTAATGTACACAAGATACTCAACACTGTGAAGGTGCAACATTTTTTTTTATTCGGGAGCAAAAGTTAAGTGAACAATAACAAACGGGCACTTGCATGTGTATTTGTCACTTTTGCTGAGATGTGCCTAAGTAAACTCACTGATGTACTGTAGGATGTTGAATAAAGTTCACCTGTGTTGAATTCCACTGCTACCTGATCTGAGATGGAAGGTCCTAGAGTTTGTTGGAGAGCATTCTGAAGCAAACAGCAGCATGAAAACCAAGGAGCTATCAAAACATCTCTGGGATAAAGTTGTGCAGATGCACCAATGAGAGTCGGGTTATATTAAAAAAAACAACAAATTATGAACCTCCCTTAAAGTACCGTTAAATGCATTATTACAAAATGGAAATAATAGGGCTCACCTATTGCCATGCCTTGAAAAGGCATTTGCCAAAACTCAGTGAAATGTCAGGGAAACCATCAAGAGGCCAATGGTAACTCTGAAAGCGTTAAAGAAAACCACTGCTGAGAAACTGTCATGGGATAACTATCACCCAGATGCTCTACAAAGCTGAAGAGTGGCAAGATAAAAACCATTTCTGAAACAAACCTGTATTAAAGGCCATTTGCAGTTTGCAGCAAGATTCATGGGAGACATGTGGGAAGAGATTCTCTAATCTGATGACCTTGGCCTTGTTCCAAAACGCTATCAGTGGTACAAAGCCAACGGTGCTCATTGTCCGAAGAAAACTATCCACAGAGGGACGCACAGTCCTGGCAGCTTCATGCTGAGGGTGTGCTGTTCCTCAGAAGAAAGTGGAAACTGGTCAGGATTGAGGACAAGAGGGATGGAGCCAAAATGCAGGGCAATTCTATAGAAAAATCTGCTTCAGACCATGACCTACCTGGGGCTGAGGTTTACTTTCCAGCAGGAGTATGACCCTAAACACAAAACCAGAATAACACTGGAGTGGTTCCAAACAGGAGCCTGCATTTCTTAGAATGGCCCAGTCAAAGCCCAGACTGCGAATCTGTGGCAAGACTTGAGCAGTGCTGCTCATCAGGGGTCTGCACCCAACCTGAAAGAGCTGGAGCAGTTTTGCTCGATGGTGTTTTTGTTAAGTTTTGTGCCACTATAAAAGTATTTTGCACCTTCGCAGTGTTGAGTATCTTGTGTACACTGAGTAGCAACAATGCCAATGATATCTGTTTCAATTCCAGGTTGTAACACAAATGTGGACAAGTCAATGGGGGTGTGCAAAGACTTCAGCAAGGCACTCTGTGTGTGTGTGAATGCTGTGTGTGTGTGTGTGTGTGTGTGAGAGAGAGAGAGAGAGAGAGAGAGACTTTCACTATGGAAGAAAAATGAAGAAAACGTTTCTCCTTATGCCCCGAAAACTATTACATAGCCTTTAAAATTCTGCATGGTTTGCAGTAAGTTAATATGGAGTGGTGAGCTGCCCTTCCCAAGCTCAATAATGTTCCCTGACACAAAAACAAATGCCAAAAAAGCAAGCGCCCAAGTGAGCCTCGTGTATTTATGCCAAACGCTATGAAAGCACGTTGCAAAAATGAGTTGAAGCAGCAATATAGTTTCTGCCCATATTTATAAATCCTAAGCTAGTTCTTATAGGTTTTGTAGATTTATTCAATATTCTCTCTAATATTATTATATGCTTGTTACATTAGATACAGGCTAATTTTAAATTAAGTTACCTTGCAGTCTATCTATAGTTCAGCTTCAAAAAGTGAGATTCCTGCCCTTTTAGTACACTTGTGTAAGCCAAAACTGACTCCATTGACCTATTTTGTCATTTAATCTGCTGTAGTCATTTCAAATATTGCTTTTGGTTTTGCAAGAGAGCAAAGCATCCAAGACTGGCTCTTAAATTTGAAATTTATTATCTTTGAAAAGGTTTTGGAGAAGCATTTTCTATACTAAATAAGTCTGCTATCATGAGCTTTATTATATACCAAAATTACTTAGTAATATACTTCTATATTTTGCTATCTCCAAAATAACTAGACACTTTTTAGTACGATTAGACCATTGACAAAAGTTCAAAGGGAATATACTATATTCTAGCATTTATGCTTCTTTTCATCTGACAAGTTTTACAAGGGCAAAGCTAGAAAAATGAAGCTGTCTCCTTAAGACAAACACATGAAAGGAAGAGAATATCAAATGAAGCCCCAAAAGACAATGCAAGAAATAGATGGTAAGGAAGGATCATTCAGACAGAAAACAGACAACAGAAGAAAAATCAGAACAGCTGCCTTAATGGTGCATAAATGAGCCATTTATTCACAGCTAACATCACAGTGTCTTTGGACTTTCAAATGCTGTATTAGGTTGGAGGACTGCGGAAGAGCCTGTGCAGCAGCACATGCAATTACAATGCTGCTGCGTTAGCAATGTATAATGATTACCTGCACAGCAAATGTACCCAGTACAATAGTGCAAAATATAGGGTTTCTGAAGATGCCATCGAAAACATTCCTTTCGCCGTGGATCTTGCGTGCATTGATTTCATTGAACAGCTGCATCATGACAAAGGTGTTGAAGATGATGGTATAGTGCTCAGAGGGCGGAGAGTGGAGCGGAGCATTCCTGCCACTGTCGATCTTGAACATTTTTTCACCTGGTGCAAGCAGGGAGAAGGACATAAATCGGAGCAAGAAATCCTCGGCCCAAATTACGGCCCAAATTCAATGTCACAATAAAAACACAGTGTTAAGCAAGAAGATGGAAACAGCAGCAATAACATGAAGCACGTGGCCCTACTTCTGTGTACAGAGAAGTTTGTCAGTTCTTAACGATTGTTCAGTTTTCCTAGAAGGGAGTAAGTGAAGACTTCTGGTATTTCCATGATAAAGGTGTTCTTTATTACATTTTTTGGTTTATTTTTCATATATAAATAAAGAAAACCCACGTGGGATGGTGGTAAAGAGTGTGGGACTGGAGCAGAAGAGTTCTGGGCTCTAGTCCTCACTTTTCCATGGAACTCACTGGGTGACTTTGGGTATGTCAATTACTCTCGGCTCAACTACCGCACAGAGTTGTTGTGAGGGTAAGATTGAGAGGAGGAGAAGAGTCTTTTCCTTGGAAGGAAAAAGAGTGGCGCACACACACACACACACACACACACACACCACTTTCCCATCATAGTGTTTTTAATGACAAAGATACAACATATAATAATCAAAAGAGATTTTCACTGGATGCCTTTATCTATCCTGACTAGGTCACCTCTTCAGCAAAAGCTTGCATGACTGGGTGGGTGTTGACAAAACTCTGAAGATTTAATCTGAAAATGCTTTTCTAATGTGTTACACACACATACACAAGCTGAGCACAAGATAAGCATTTGATTTATCAAACCAAAAGCCAGACCTCCCTGAGTAGTTTACAAAGATTAAACATCTTAAAATATTTCCCACAATATTAAAACCTTTACATACCACCAGACAGACAGCCCACCCCCATCCCCACCCCCAAGAAAATAATGTTAACAGTCAACCATTGGTTGGAACAACCAACCAGGATCCAATTATAAGCCTCATCATATGGCGTCCTATGCCTGAAAATCAAAGAGCAGTTTAACCTTGTGTCAAAGGGAAGATCATTCCAGAAATAGGGGGCCACCACTAACAAAGCCCCCTCCCTTGTTGCCAGCTTCTGAGCCTCCCATGGGGGAAGCAGCCAGAAGAGATTCCTTAGGTGATGATTGTAGCATGTAGGTAGGCTTATGCTGGGAGATGCGTTCTGCCAGGTATTCAAATGTCGGCACATTTTTTATTTTTTATTTATTATTTTATTTATTTATTATTTATTAAAACATTTTTATGCCGCCCCATTCGCCGAAGCCTCGGGGTGGCTTACAACAATAAATTAAAACATCATATGTAAAACTTCATATGTTCAAAGCAGCACTTTGAATCAGGCTTGGAAACAAACAGGAAACCAGTGTGACACTGCAACTCAGTGTTATCAACTTAGATCTTCTTGCTCCTATCAATTAAGCTGCCACATTTTCCTTAAGCTGAAGCTTCTAAACCATCTTCAAAGGAAGAACCATGTAGTAATCTAACTTCTAACTTGAAGGTCATGAGAGCACAGACAGCTGAAGTACAGCAAAACAAACAAACAAACAAACAAACAAACAAACAGGTTTCCAGGCCAAGTGAGGTACACCAAAACAAACAGACAAACAAACCAGACTTCACGTATACACTGATGTGGTTTGAAGGCTAATCAGGAAAGAATTCATGGGTCACGGTAAAAGGCGCAATGAAAGCATTCACTCAGTGTGCAGTAGCTGTGAAAATGCTGCGCTACAGACTATTACAAAGGGGTTTGGAAAGAAAATAACCAGCATCACAATGCCTTCAGATAATTCTATACTGCAGCCAAATTTGGAACTCTGTGTGCAGTTGTGCTAGCAGCTATTGGGTGCAATAGCAACTTTGGCAGAGGGGTATTTTCATCATGAAAGAAATGCTTCCCCATATCATGGCTGAAATCTGGATCATTTCCTGCTCAAAGGCTGTTTGCTTAAAGAACAGTTAAACAAGGGCATTCAGAGTCATGGGAGTTCATGATGCCCACCAATCTGAACAGCTTTAAAAGGGGATTGAACCGGTTCATGGAGGAGATGCTATCAGTGGCTACTAGCCTTGCTGGCTATGTACTCTCTCTGGTATTAGAGGCACAGGATGCTGAGGAGCTTGGGCAGGTGGAACTCTTGTACCTATCCTGCTTGAGGGAACCTGTGGACAGCTGGTTTGGAGCACTGGACTACATAGACCATAGGCTTGATCCAGCATGGATTTTTTCTTCTCAGATTCTTAGAAGGAGATTTGCACACAAGGGATTAAAAGGTGCATTTAATGCCATGTATGATTGATGTGAAAAGCTGGGGATGCTGAAACCTCTGATCTTGAGAGTCCACCAAAAAAATGCCACCCTTCTTCAGTTAAAATGCAAATAAACTCCACTGCAGTTGTTTGCTCTGCAAGTCAAATGAGTGTTTGACTTGCAGAGAAAACTAATTTCCAGTCATGATAGTTAGAATACCAATTTGCCTAGTTCATAATGCTCAAATGCAATACATGGTGAATGCTGTTTCCTTCGTAAGTTCTTCTACAGTTTAGAATATAAACAAACATTTGCACAATCACAGAGAATGCTTTTTAGTAAAAACAAAACAAAAAACCCAAACCTAAAAAAATAGCAATTAATTAGCATTGATGGAGCTAAGGATTCTAAAGACCCAGATTATTGTGGACAAAACCCAGGGAACTCCTGAGCTTTCTGTGATTTGCTGGAGCCAGTGCAGACTGTCCAGTTCTTTAGCCTGAAGTAGCAAATATTAAGGGAAGACAAAATAGCTGCCTTCATATAGTTGAAGCCTGCCACACAGAAGAGAGATCCGTTTGCTGTTCTCCAGACAACAGGACCAGAACCAGTGGATGCAAAAAGCAGGACACCAAATTTCAGCTAAACATTAGATGAAACCTGCTAATACTGCACAGTGCTTGAGAACAGAAAAGATGCAATTATACCTTTCTGAACGGACCATTTAATGAGCAGAACTATCCAACCTTTGCTTAGATCCTTCCAGCGAAAGATAGACCACCACCCCCTATATAAAACCTTTGCCAACTGTATCCCAGGGATAAGAGATGGTACTGTCCACGGACCAGGGAAGCAAGGTGCCTCCACATCACTTAAGCCACTGCTGAAACCTTGGGAAGGTATCCAAGCATCTGCAATACATCAGGAGCCTCCCCCACCTGTTTGCAAGCCTCTGATCATGCAGAGCTCAGCACTGGCATGGAATGCATGTTGGAAGCTCACAGGGACAGCTGCTCTGTAGACTGCATACAAAAGTTAAGGGTAAACATAATGGCTCGAAGAGCTTACCGACAAAGAGGAGGGTAAAAATTAGAGTGAGCTGGTACACAGCATGGCCCATAATATTCTTCATCATGGTTCGTGAGATAAGAGGCTTGTTTCGACCGTACGGTTTCCTCAGTAGAAGGGATTCTGTGGGGGGCTCCGTGGCCAGAGCAAGAGAGGCAAAGGTGTCCATAATCAGATTGACCCACAGCATCTGTACAGCTTTTAAAGGAGAGTCCTGAGGAGAGAGACCATAAAGGAAAATGCATCTTCATATTGATATCTCTAGGTCACGCTGCTGATTGTCTCTGTAGAGTGCTTCTTGCACAAAGTGTTTTACTATTCTAATTTCTTCTTTGCCTCCTACTGCAACCTTCTGAAGTGCATCAGAATGAGGAAATGGCATAAAGTTAAAATTCAGTAGTGAGAAGGGATCAGAAGCCAATCTTCCATTAAACCCTTACAGGCACAAATTCTATCATCCTACTCCAAAAGAATGAGGGCTAATTTAAATTTGTTAGCTTGGTAATGGAGCCCCCCCCCCCACCAACCTAACGAGTAAGATTGGAAATCCTAAAATAACTGTGGAATAACAGTGTTAGCAATCACTCCTGAAGCACAAGAAGAACAATCTTAATTTTAGAAATGCATGTCATGTCAAGATGTCAGTTCTACTTACTGAAGGGTAAAGGATCTTGGTGATTTATTAGGAATTCATTTTCAATACTACATAACCACTAGAAGGAGCTGTTTGCTCACTGAATATGGCTAGAAAATGGTTGGAGTCCAACAGTGCCTCAAAACAGACCATTTAAGAAACAACAACAAACTAATTAATATCTCAGGAGAGAAAGTAAATTACTGTTAAATATGCTTTATTAAATTGTGGCTTGGATAATTGTTTCTTCTCAGCATCCTTCCTTACTAGCAGCTATAATGACTTATGGGTAGAATGGTGTAATAAGAAATAAAATGGGAATATTAAAATTAGTCAGAAAGGCTACTTCACATTTCTTTGACTCAAAGCATTATTTGAGGCCTGAAGATGTGGACAGGGAGCTTGGTCAAGTCCGGCCTACCACCTGTGGGTTTGTTCCTTGTGCCTCATGGCTTATTACAAGAACTAAGGAAGAGATTTGTACTTGGATCCAGGAGGCTATAAATGCCTCCTTGGGAGAGGGAGTGGTATCAGCCTCTTTAAAACAGGTGGTAATTAAGCCACTCCTGAAAAGGCCTAACCTGGACCCAAAGGATGTCAACAACTATAGGCCATGACCAACATCCCCTTACTGGGCAAGGTGCTTGAGTGCGTGGTGGCTGAACAGCTCTAGGCGCTCTTGAGTGAAACAGATTCTCTGGTTCCATTCAATCAAGCTTCAGGCCTGGTTTTGGAATGGAAACTGGCTTGGTCAACCTGTGGGATGACCTTTGCTGGGAGAGAAACAGGAGAAGTGCAACTCTGTTGCTTCTCCTGGACCTCTCAGCAGCTTTTGATACCATCAACCATTGTAACCTTCTGGATAGGTCGGCTGGGCTTGGAGTAGGAGGCACTGCATTGCAGTGGTTCTGCTCCTACTTGACCAGCTGAGAGTGTGGGGGAAGCTTGTGCTGGGGCGGGGGGTTATTGCCCTGCACCATGGGGTATTGCAGGGCTCCATTCTATCTCCCATGCTCCGTAACATCTACATGACATTGATGGGGGGGGTTATCCGGAGGTATGGGCTGAGGTGCCATCAGTATGCAGATGACACTCAGCTCTACCTCTCTTTTTCATCAAACCCAGGTGAGGCAGTGGCTGCTCTGAATCAGTGTCTGAGCATGGCAATGGATTGGATGAGGGTCAACAAATTGAAACTCGATCCAGACAAGATGAAACCAAGTTGGTGGGTGGTTCTTCTGTCTAGTTGGGAGATATTCAACATGTTCTGGATGGGACTGCACTACCCCTGAAAGGCAGGCTTCGTACTTTGGGGATCCAGAACTATTGGAGGCACAAGTGCACTCTGACACAGAGCACTTTTTATCAGGTTAAGCTGACATACCAACTACGACTCTACCTGGACAGACAGAGCCCGGCTACAGTAACCCACGCTCTGGTAACCTCTCATTTGGATTACTGCAGATGAGAGGTTGCGCATGGGACTGCCTTTGAAAATGGTCTGGAGACTTCAACTCTGGTCAAAAAAAGGGCAGCAAGATTGTTAATGAGGACTGGCTTATGAAAAGTTATTACACCAGTTCTCTTCCAGGGGCACTGGCTGCCAGATGAAGTCCAGACCTGACTCAAAGTGCTTGTATTAACATTCAAAGCCCTAAATGTATTTGGTTCAGGTTATCTGAAGGGATGCCTCATCCCAAACTTGCCTACCTGGATCCGAAGGTCTTCTTTGAGGGTCCTTCTCTGAGAGCCTCTTCAAAGGAAGGATGATGGCTACCCAGAGAAGGGCCTTTTTGGTTGTAGCACTGTAGCTGTGCAATGTGCTCACAAAAAGAAATGTGCCTAGCACTTACTCTGCATTCTTTTCTGTGCCATTTTTGCAGTATTTTAAGAGTTAACTTTTTACCTTTAGCTTTAATGTTGCATTTTATCCTGTACCAGTACTATACTCGTACCTCTGCGCTGATTCAGTTGCAATTGCTGTGCTTTTATTGTCTTACGTTAATTGCCTTTTTCTTCTCTTTCTTGTCTGTGTGTTCTGAACTTTTGCTAACTGCCCTGAGAGCCTCGAGTATTAGGCAGAATAAAAATGAAATCAATCAATCAATCAATCAATCAATCAAAACAGTCTATTTTAACAAGTGATGAATTTGCAAAAAAAGTAATTTGTGTAGTGAAATCTACCTCGGTATTCAGAACAAATTAATAATATTCAAGTGGTGCTGTTGCCTAAGGGAAAGCCAACTCCCATGCATGCTTACTCAGAAGTAAATCCTGCTAGATTCAGCTGGACTTACTCCCACCAAAATGGCATTTTTGCTGCCCAGTTCCACCCTGCTTGCCATGCACAACATGCTTCTGCCGCTAGACTCACTGTTCTTCCATACTGAAGCATCTTTGCAAGGTAAGGATACCTGTGACAATTTGCTTTGATCACCAAAAGCCACACTCAAATTTAGTATGCCAACCAAAAGACTCTGGACTTCCATATATTACCATTTTAGCAGCTATGCAGAGGCATAACCACTTTCTATGCTTGCAATATCTGTTGAAAGACAACAACTGTGGACTGCCCCAATATGCTTTGTGGTTGGAATATGGGGTGCTACTCATTAACCTCACCTGACAGACCAAACGCCTGACTCATTACTTGCTTCTTTTCTTCACTGAGCAACTAGACACACACACTTTCTTTCAAAGTGTGCACCTGGGTGGGGGAGATTCTTATCTGCAGCCACCAAACTCAGATCATTTTTCCAAATAGTAAGAAGTTGTTTGCACAAATGGTGTTCAGCCCTGCAGTTCTGTTCCCTTTCCCTACCTGATTCCATATTTATATTTTAAAAACACCTCTGTTGTGCAAATTTCAGAGAACCCTGTTGTGTAAGTTTCAGAAATTCCCCAGAGAACTCCTCTGTATTATGAAAATTAGTTCCCTTCCTTTGAGCTATCCTCCAAATTGCACATGTGCATTTGGCACCATCGCTTTTGGCTGCAGTGCATTTTCACAGTGACAATCACTCCATGTCGCTAAGGTGCCTCTAATAATTATCTATCATCTACTGTACTGCAAAGTTCAGTCGAGTGTAAAAGCTCATTCTAAACCCCTGCCTAAGCATTAAACACACATTAGTTTTGGCACTTTGCGGAATGAAAATTCCACTGCAGCTCTTCCTCATTTCTTGTAAGACCTTTGGAAGCTCAGGATAATGACTCTACATTAGAATATCTATTAAAGCAGTGCGTTAGTCAGCCAAACTGCCTGAGAGCAACAAGGTGCGTATGGGGTGCTTTCCAAGGGTTGTGTCAAATGAATGAAAAAGTGTTGGCTTGGCAAACTTTAGCTAATGGAAAACAAAAGTGGTTGTGGCATTCAAGGATATATGTTGACTATGGAAGCCATGTAAAAAAATCAATATTTAGTTAGTAGGCTGCTTTATAAATAATCCTAATGAGATATTATCAAGGAACCATAGCAAATGAGAGAACTATAGTAATTTCTTTGTACAAAGAGCCTGCAGACTCACAACTGTGAGTTAAAAAATATTTTATGAAATATCACCCCAAGTATACTTTTTGTTCAGAGGAAAGCAGTCTGATGATTATATATATTATTCATATAAAATAGAATAATTTAAAATTATTCTGATCACACTTCCCTGCACAAAAACTTACCATGCGGTGAACAACAAATGTTTGAAATCGCCATTGAAACATAAATAAAACAACAAGATTTATGCACAAAGAACTGAAAATGGAATCCCAGCAATACTCTGTAAACAGTGAACAATACTTTTCAATAACTCATTTGGTGATATAATTTAATAGTTTGTAGAGATGCCTATATGTGACAGTCTCAGTCTAACTGAGATTATTAGTTGTTTGGTGAAGTCAAGCTCAGTCTGGCCTCAGTTTTGGGGGAAAAATCCATAAAGAGGTTCATAGGCATTGTTTCATGTTGTACGCATGTGTGTGCGTATTTTAAATACCTATGTTGTGATAATGCTCCCATTGGCGAAAGCAGATATCCCTAAATTTCTGGATCTGAGAACATTTTTGGACCTTTTAAAAAAGCATCTTGAGCATCATCAGAACTAAACAGCTATCAAGGAGGGGTCCGTCAATTGCAAGCACTGTGAGAGTGCCCGCCGTCTCTGTATTTGGGTGGGTGTGTTTCTCTCTCTTTCTATCTCTCTCACACTTTCTTATGACTTTGTTGCTTTTGATCTTTCTTCTGCCCCCCTTCCCTTCTTGGCCATCTGTTCTCCTTTCTCTGTCTCTGCCTCCATACAAGCAAATGGAACCATTTCTCCATTTATATGCATGGGGAAAAGGGAAACTATCCTACTTAAAATCAGAGGGAATAGGAGAAAGCCCACCCCTCACCAAGGACCTTCTTTCTTCAGGGACCATTGATGGGGCTGTGCTTTAACCCCCTCCAGGCATTTTTTGGCACAGCACCCTCCCCTCCCCTCAGTACAAGGGAAAAGAGTATTTCCGTGACTCACCTACCAGGGGAGGGGAAGTCTCCATGCCAAAAATAAAAAAATGTGGGGAGAGAAGGACCCTGCTTCACCGTGTTAATCAGTGGGGTGGGTTTCCCGCTGCAAGCCGTATTATGGCAGGGTGGACTTTTTCCTGACCACAGAATTAAAGGGAGCAAGAAAAGCTGCCTTGTCAAAAGTTGGCTAGAGGAGTAGAGAAGTGAGGTCCCCACCAAGGACCCCGTGGATTTGGCAGCCGTGGGCCTCCAGCTACCACTGCAGTTTTTGTTCATTTGTTTGTTTTTAAGTTGGGCGCCTTTCCTCCTTTCCCCATGCAAGGCAATGGAGGGATGACTCCAGTCATTTGCAGAGCAGAAAAGTATCTGCCTGAATACTCTGGTCCAACTGTGTGAGCACAGAGACTTTGTTTGGCACCTGCAGGCACTATAGCAGGTGCTCTTTGCATGTGGACTCTTTTTTCTTTGCACACTTCTCAAATGCATGCATTTGGTCAAGCATGTTCTGCTTTCTTTTCCACAATGCATTACAAGTGTAAAAAAATGAACGAACAAACCTAAACAGAGCAAATCTCTCATAGATCCCTAACCATTTTCCAATGGCATTTGATGCAGCTTTAATTTTTTCTTTGGCAACAGTTTAGATTGTCAGTTAAATAAAGGAATATCATAAATACAGTGGCTTAAGACCAGAATTGTGCTAGTGAGCACTGATGGGAGTGTCTCCCTCCTGCAGCTCTCTGTGTTGCCCAAGAACCCGCTCTAGAGTCTTTCCTGGCCCTCCAAAGCAAGAGCTTTGAGGCTACATGGACGCCTGCTAGAGGGAAAAAAGCACTTCTCTCTGAGGTCTGCTGACAGAAGCAGTTCTGCCCGTGGAAAGACAACACTGGTGTTATGAATGGCCCTCTCTCTTTCCTTCTGATGATCAATCTCAAGACAACCCTTTGAAGTGTAGCTGTTTTATTGATCTACAGATTCCTGAATGGTATGAACTCTGAATAACCTTCTACTAAAGTTGAGGGAGAAGCTTCTGCCCATGTAAAGAGTTGGCTTCAAACTGGAAAATTCCCCTCTGTCCCTCCCTGTCACTAAAGCTTCTGACTCCACCATCACGTTGGCTCTTGCTGCTTGAGGGGCAAGACGGTAGGAACGGTGCAGCCCCTTCAGCTGAGCAGCTCATTTCTCCCAATGCCTCCTTACTGGGTCAAGGACTGGGCCTTGCCTAGGCCCCCTTCCTGAAAACCCTTCTTTCCCTTCCAAAGCACACCAATGCTCTGCTGAGAACCTTGGAATGCCAAAGGCCTCTCCCCACCCCTCGCTTCTCCACCCTCCTCAGCGTCTGACGATGAATCAATCTGAACAGTCAGCAGTGAGCGAGAGTCAGGCCCACTCTCTACAACTGGATCCCACCATTTGTAGAGATGGGATCTATTTCTAAACACCTTCTTCCATTTTCCAAGTAATCCACAAACGACAAAAAATAAACTCCAGAAAAAAGTTTATTGTTTCCCTGATTTGATTCTGCAAACCAGAACTGGAAGCATTCAAAAGGCATTCACTGTTAATCAAAAGGCAAAAAGCTACTGCATTGTTATCAACTAAACCATTCCATCCTTTTTATTACTTTTCTATAGTAATAAACAAATGAATAGCTTCATTCACACTTCCATGCACAGAGCGAAGTCACCGCTGCATGTACAGAAGGGAATTACAGAATGCTCAACAGAGCTCAATTTCTTTTCTTCCCTTTTTTAGCTGTTTCCTAATCTTTGAATTAAATTTCCCAGAGCCGTAGCAAGGAATGAAATGGCTGGATGCATGTTTGGGAGTCAGGGATGGACTACCCATTGGAGGTCATGCTTGAGTCAATATACACTGAGGGTACATTGAGTCAAGAATGATCCCTTCCCACAGACTTAGAAGTCGTGGTTTATGCCCAAGCCTTTTAAAGGATTGAAGAAATACACTCTGTCTGTACTCTTTGGAACTCTACAAAGGACAGAGGGAAGGTCGTCTCCTCCCGTCTCTTCCATTATTTTATCTCAAAGGCTTGGTACAAGAGCAGAGCCCATTTGCGCTTCCCGATTTTCTGGCCAAAATGCTATGGATTGGAAAAGCTTCATAGACTGTGAACACTTTCCCCACCCATCTCTGTTTCTGGCTAGCCGTAATCAACAGCAGTGGCTTGAGTTTTCAGCACCCAGATGAAAACTGAGGCAAGGTCCATCTGCAACTGCCTCAAGGTCCATGAAGAAATAAATAGTTATAACCTTTGAACAGCTTGAAAAATTTAAAAGAGTAATTTGGGAGGAGTTTCACCTTTGTGGCTTCTAATAGAGACAGCCTCAGGTTTCACTTGGCCATATCATGATGACCAGGTAAAGTTATTCTTTACCGTATCCCTAATGACTTATTCATGATTCTGCTTGCAGAGGCTGAATTTTCCCGCTGCACCCGACTGAACAGCAGATGCTATGGGAAGATACCTGCCATGCTCACAGAAGTGCCATTCTGGGCATTAAGTCCTGCTTCCATGTCCAATACTGTTTTCATACACATGCCCTTGTTACTCATGGTTCTGTTACCATTATGAAATACAGAAAAGAAGTGCAGCTTACAAATGAGAACAAACACTTTAAAGAAGTATTACAAGCAGGCTTGTTATAATGGAGCTTTCCCTAATTACTATTCTACTCATTTTTGATCAGATAGTCAGGTATGAGCACAGCTTTGAGAATATAGATTTCTAAGTGAAGTTTATTATTATCTCTTACCACTATTAAAGTAACAGACTACACCAGCAATCTGGCCCGACACATTATGAGCTTTTGAAATAACTGCTTTCTTCCAGCCTGCGATTAGGCATCAGTGTCCTGATGCAGGACAGGAGCCACGCTGCACTGGTTCTGGGCCTGGGATATGCCTCCAGCGCCAACTGCGCAGGCAGCCGAGCCCGCTGCGGCCTCCTGCCAGGAGTGCAAGGGAGACCAGCACTGTGCACGGGTGCCTAAACAACAGCTGCCAATCCTGGCCTCCTGCTGAGCTCTTCTGCATATGCTGGGAACCTCATCCAAGACACAGCCTTGCGCCTTATTTTTGGACAGAAGGGGCCTGACACGCTCAGCCGGGTGCTTTAACCCTTAAACTGTAGTGGCATAAGATACTATTAGTGCTGCAGTTAGTGCTAGCTAATATAGATAAATTAGACTGTGTGAGAGAGCAGGAAAAAGAAGCTATGGGGAGCAAGTACTATTTGCTTAGGGCCAGTTTATGCATTTGAAATCTGAAAGAGGTTCTTGTCTTAGGAAGAATATGCAAGAGCTCTCCCAGCACTGAGAACGCATCAGCATGTGAGATGGGATTTCCTCTCAAGACGCGATGATGGGATGTTTCCATTCACGTCACCCTCAGCCTTACCTGGGTAATGCAAGCTCCAGTGAAAGCCACAATTACAGCCACCACGTTTACTGTCAGCTGGAACTGCAGAAACTTGGAGATACTGTCATAGACATTACGGCCCCACATTACAGCTTTCACAATACTACTGAAATTATCATCAGTGAGGATAATATCTGAGGCTTCCTTTGCCACATCAGTTCCTGCAATACCCTGAAAAACACAGAAGAAATGACAAGAACAATGTTCTAAAATGAGATATAATAAGCCAGTGAGGAATAGTACTTTCAGAATAAACCAGTAGCCAGGGATCCAAGAACTATGAAGTTGATTTAGCAGGGTTTAGGCTTATTTTCCCTTGCTGGATAGCAAACTGATTTTGGAAATTGTTTCAACAGCAGTTTGTGATGTGGCAAGGCTAAAATGCAGTAAATCTCATGATAGGATTTTGACATGACGTTTTCCCATCAGTGGACCTATCTTCAACGACATTTAAGCAGTCCAGTCCTATATTTGCCACCTGATCCCATCTGGCTGGAATGCCCATAGCTCTATTTCTAGGGAGACCCTGCATAGTTTTATGAAAACATGGCATCAGAGCACTAGCAGAATATGGGAACACAGGTGGTGGACAATTTCCCCCTGATGAAGGTAACAGAAGAAGTTCCTGGACATAATTCAGTCTACCCCCAAGTGCAATACTTTGAGCCCTAAAAGTGAAGCAGGTGCTGAATGCATAAAGAACAGATTCTGACATATACCATAGCAAAGCCAACATCAGCTTTCTTAAGTGCTGGTCCGTCATTCGTTCCATCCCCAGTCACAGCTACAACTTGCCTCTGCTCCACTTGTGTGCTGTCAATAATACCTGCAAGACATTGCAACACGTTTAAGTGTAGTAGCAGAATAGGATAGTCCCATGCATGTGGGCAGGACTGTCTTCAGAGGTGGACAATTTATTTCCAATCCTTACAAATTATGCACTTAAATGACTGAACTTTATTATGCAGTCTTACTAATTACTTATTCTCTCCCTTACATTTGCAATACCATCTTCACCACCAAACAAGTGGATCTTTGAACAAATTAAGCCAGAACTTTCTCTGGAAGCAAACATGACAAAATGTTGGACACATCATGAGAAGGGAAGACTCACTGGAGAGGAAAATGGTGCTAGAGAAAGCCAAAGGAGGAAAAAGAAGAGGAGGAGGAGATGGATTCACTGCATAAAGGAAGTCTCAGCGTTGCGTTGACCAGAGGTGAACAAGGGTGTCAAGGGCAGGAAACTTGGAGGGACGTCACTAACTGGGCCCCCTTAAGCCAGAGATAATTTGATGGTACTTAACAACAATGCACCCCCAATTCAAATACTCTACCCTGCTTTTTCTTGCTGCTCCATTATCAAGCTTTGTGCTCCTTCCTTCAACTTTACCCTCTCTGTCATTCCTAGGTCATAAACCATCCAGGCAGCAACCACGTCACTTAACAGTGCCTAAGATGACACTGAAGCATTCATCTTCATTCTTTAAAAAGGAATTTTAAAAAGTTGGCCAGGGACTCAAATTTAAAATTCAGCTTTAAATACTAACTAAGCATCTACTGAGAATTCTGTTCTCTTTCATACAAGCATATCTTTAGGAAGCAAAGTGACAGATGACCACCAGAGGGTAGCAGAGTGCAAGTGAGGTGGTGGGAACAAAAGAGAGGGAAGGAAGTCTCTGAGAAGAACTGCAATTATTGCCAAGCCCAGACAAAACCTTATTTTATTTTTTTTAAAGAAAAAGTTATGGTTTACTTATTGGAAATGCTGCTGCATGACAAATCATCACTTGGAGCTTTGGATAAAAAGAACAGTACCATCCTCAAACTCTCCATGTCTGTATTAAAAGGTTTTGGATGTTGCAAAGCAGCATATCATAAATTGTAACAAGCAATTACTATAGTGGTAATTGATCATTATGAGTCAAACAACAGAGTATCTGAGGTGCCTGCGTTTGCAATGTGAATTTGCAATTTATTGGGGGATGCAAACAGTATCCAACATATTCAAATAACAACCACAATAAAGAAATTCAAATATATCTAAGTGCTGCTTATATGTCAATATTCACATGGAGGCTATATGGAGGACAAACTCTTATTCTAATCTAACTGGAATGTTGAGGATGTCCACAGATTATCAACTTCTAAATCTGATACCAAATATAACATACTACCTTTAAACATATTCTTGAGATTAGCCACCATTTTCAGTATGTAATTAATTCAAAGTGGAAAGTAGTTTTCTTATTTGCTAACTATACAAAACCACCACCAACTCTCAAAGAGCCATGAAAAATTTAAAAAAACTTATTTCATGATAAATAAAAGAGTCTTTCTATTGGCAAGAAACGTAGTAAGCTAAATTTGAAAAGTTCCCTCCCTCTAGCAACTGTATATCATTAAACATTCAATATATATAAAAAGTTTGCTTTGTGATTTTTTTTGTTTTTTGCCCAAGAGCATTTCTTATGCATCAAAGATAAGAGTTCAATTTGTCCTTCAAACAGCGGAGAAATACACATTCAGTCAAAACCAGTTAATGTTTCAATTTTTTTTTTGTATCTTTGAAGGGACTTCAGGAATATAAAAGCTACAAATGCTCCCAAGCAAAGAAAAATTCTTCTTCCACTACACTGACTACACACACATACACACCTCCCTGCTCTGTGTCCTCACTGCATTACATAAGACATTCAGAACTGCATTCTTTCTGTCAGAACCTTACACTTCACACGCAATCAGCCCTGTTTAGATCCCACGGTTTACAAATCCCAATTCTGAGACTGCATCTCCTCTACCGAAACATTCATTTCCATCCCTTTTAGAACAGCTGGATGATCCAAACCAGAGGCTCTAGATGCTTAGGTTTAGAAGACACCAAGAGGTTTAACTTCAGGAATACTGATTCAAAGTTAACTCTAATTCTGAAATATAGTGCCAGCACAAGCGCTTAAATAGAAAACATTCATAATCATGATCACAGGTATAGATCATTTTTACAAAATACCATTTGTTACTTGGTTGCATAAAGAAATGAGACTGCAGACTGCACTCATCACTGTTAATTGTGAGGCCACAGAAAGTTAACTATGCAGCTCAGCCTTTCCTCCTCTCCTATAAGTGTACATGGTCCTGATTTAGACTGGGACTGCAGCGCTGCAGTAAATGTGAGGGATATTTTAAGTGGGGAAAAAAAGGAAGGTGGAAAGGATAGGTGCCAGTTCAAAAAAGTGAGGAGAAAGAACTACATGGGACACAGCTGAAACTATTTCCTTTAACTCCCTGCAACACTCCAGAAATGCTGTGGTCCCAATCTGAATGGTAGCTGTGTGTGCTTATGCAAGCTTTCTGGAACATTTGAGACAACCAAAGGAAAGGGGTGAAGGGAGAGGCTGGGTAAATGGAAAGCAACGCACATAACAGAGTAAAGAATAAACCTTCATTCCAGTTGGAGATTGGGACTAAGGCAACTGCCAGAGTAGCTGGGGCCTGCTGGGAGCCATAGGACATTTCTCTGTCTAGTTGCATGGCATCTAAAAGGTTTGCTAAACCTTTCCTAAAAGGTTAAGCAAAGCCTTCTTGGAAACAGTAATTTGCATTTGCCTTCACTAAACCAGGCCTATATGCAGGAAATTGTTACGACAAATCAAATTATATAAAGGATTTCTATAAATCACAGAAAGATATAAGGAAGATATGAGAGGTGATGGACATGTTTACCTTTCACCAAAGTGTGCTTATCTGTGGGAGACGAACGCGCAAGGACACGAAGTTTTGGCCAGATCTTGTCAATGCGCTCCTGCTCAATCTAAAAATAATAATGATGACACGAATCAACCCTTGGGAATCCTTTCTGCAGGTGAGGAAAGGTTGCAACAAATACCACTTTGGGATTAACATAGCTCTTCTGCATCTTTATTATTTCCCCCGAACATTAACAGCTCCACGGCTCCTAAGGGTTTTCTGCTGGTCTAATCCACAGCTATGCTTCACTCTTACCCTCAGGTAATATTGTCTAAGTAAGAACTATTTCTCCACAATAAAATTATTTTGCTCACATTTGCACCAGTAAAACTGCCATATTATGTTTATGCTCTCATGCTGCTTTTGGTTCCTTTGCAAATAGGCATTCATTCTGACCAATCATGATGCACATCATCAGTCTTTTCTGAACTGACTTTTGCAATGGCTCTTTTATAAATGAAATAAACATTGAGTAAGCTTACTAAATATAAATGATGGAATACTGAGTAGACAAGCACTGGCCATGCTTATACTATAACTTCTAAAAAGCAAGGCACTGTTACTTTAACACTTCATTCCTATGCACACATGCTTGAGAGCAGGTTCCATGTAACACAATGGATCTTACTCAAGAGTAGACCTATACACGATTATGCTGTAGGTGTGGCTACTGGGGTTTATCTGGGGCTCATGTGAACCACAGGATGGCTCTGCATGGCAAATTGAATGCTTACTACTCCATGCATCAATTGGACAAAATGGGGTGTCAGCACAAAACACAGGCCTACACATGGTACAATGTACAGTATCCTATGACAGAGCTCTGCCAAACTGCCGCTTTCCAGAAATAATCATTTTTATTCATTCCAGTGTTCTCCCCAGAAGTGCTAACTCTGTTGAGTAATGGAATCTGTGCGACCAGCTGGCCAGAGAATGGAAGTGATGGTGGACTTCTTGCAGGTGGACAGTGTTGGATACTGTGACTCATCCTTGATGATTAGTCCTTACATTTAATTAAAGAATGAGTGGCCAGAGCAGAAACACTATTAGGGAAAGTGTAATACTAGCTTTTAGCCAGCCCTAATATCCAACTCTATCTGATTGTTCCTCAGAAGCTTTTATGGGTTTGGGTTTCGGGAATGGCATCATCTCTCTCGTTCATTCAGAAAAAAATGTGATGGGCAGCACAATGCAAGGGAAGCACCATAGGCTTTCTTATCTTCCATTTTCTAATTATTCGATAAAATAATGCATGTTCCGATTTGCTTGACTTACATCTCCCTTCTCGTTTCGGATCCTCCTGTTGAACTCTTTCCCCTCAAGACAGAGGAAGTCTTCCCCTGGGTGGATGATGCCGCACTTTATGGCAATGGCACGAGCTGTGTTGATGTTGTCCCCAGTAACCATGCGGACTGTAATTCCAGCTCGCTGGCACTTTCTTATGGCTTCTGGGACCTAATAAAACAGTAATAGGGCATGGAAAAGCAGTATGATGCTACAAATACGCAGATCAGATTGGCATTCTGAGATTTCAGCACTGATTTTTTTTCAAATACCAAAAATAGCAGTGTGAGTAACAGAGATGAGGCCTCTAACATCTCTGCCATGTGCATTTGGAGTTCTTCCAAAAACAGCATATACTTGAGGAGAAATATTTTGAAAACATTATTAACATAATGTTCAATTCAGCCAGTGATTTAGCATTTCATATAAGGGCCTGGATACAGATTCAGAGTGGACCTACTGAAATGAGAATTAAATTAGTCATGTCTGATTTAAGACCCACTGATTTCAAAGGGTCTAATTAGGGTCTAATTTGAGTCCAAGCCAGAGAAGTATCTGCAGAATATCCAGTGTACTTATTATTGGACTAGATAATCTTACTTCTTTTCATGAACCTTAGAAGTAATGGTATATCTAATAAATGATAGATAATGTATTTAGTTTCTAAAAGAGATTAAAAAACTTCTATGGCGTTAAATAGATTTTGGAGAAATTAGTTATGGAGCACTATCACCACTCACAAAATAGGTATAAATGTTATAAAGAATTGTTATGTCCAACAGTTTTAAACTATTAAATCTAAGTCAAGAACTTCATGTCCAGTCCATAAGAGAAATGATACTAAATTTATGTATCCTACAGGGTGCCTAGGAGTTTTCAGGCAGATTCCCTTGTGATCTTTTTAACTACAGGCCTTTAAAAGGCATGGGAATTACTGGAGGAGAGTTGATATTTGAAAAGCAGTGCTAAGTTTTGAAAATACATTATCTTTTAAGGATGGTAGGCTGTTTGGGAGTCCCATATAAGCTATTTTAAACAGCCTGAAGAAAGGATGGATGAAAAATATAATCAATAACTAGTAGATAATAAATATGCAGAAACTGAAGCAGCAGATTAAGTGGACCATGTTAGCTCTGTAATCTATCTGGAAGCAACACTCTCTGAACAAGAAGTTGTATCATCACATACTTCTAAGTGTGTGGGTGTGAATTAATTTGGGTGAAGGTAGTACCTTCTGCATATCCTCACAGGTATGAATAACACCATAGTGATAAACATGAGAGTTAATCTTGGAGACTATTTCTCCAAGAAAGAGGGAAGTAATTTCTTAGAAGCTGCCCATTCCTTGTGGGATGAAAAGGTACAGTTTTGTGCTTTGGTTGGGAAGGGGATGGCATTTATTGTTGTGGATGATTCAGGGATTAGAGACAATGTAGTTGTGAGATTCTGAAACACAAATTTAGGTTGCTGAGGAGTCTCAATGTGTGGATGAGGCAGTGATGTAGTTTAGGTTTGCTAGTCTAAGAAAAACTGGATCTAGCATCAAAACAAACCCAGCTTGGGAATTAGCTCTGTTTGACCCGTAGTGGAACCCAGCTGTTGATGTTTGATTTGAAGAGGGTGGTGAGCAACTCAGATGGGAGTGGAGTAGAAACACATCACTAGCAGAACTAGTAGAAGCTGCCAGCCTGTCAAAGTGATCGAATAAGTTCTAGGGAAATTCATATGCCAGAGAAATGGATGTGTATAGGAAGGATAGGGAAAGTATAGTAATATAAGGGGTATGGTGTTAAATAAACTAGAAACTCCAAAAGGAGCACGCTTTACACCCAGTCATTGTAGTATCAATACCAGTCCTTCAGAGAGGCATCCAAAAAAGTAAGTGTTATGAGAACTGGGGACACCCATTATCCATATATTAACTGGGAAGCCGCATTTTCCAGTGATAAGAAAAATGAAAACTTTCTCACTATGCTAAATGATTGTATCATAGAAGCTATGAATTATACAACACAATTTAAGTATTATTTTTAAAAGAAAAGTTGATCATGGATTCAGCTGAACAAGAGCTGACCCTGGAATTAATCCTATGTAATAACACATACCTAGTGAAAAATACAAGGGTTACTGAACTGACTGGAAACAAGAACCACAAGGTTGCCAACTTAATGGATAAGTTAAGTAGAAAATTGCTGAGGAAGTTCAAATGCTGAGACATTTGACTTCAAAAGGGGAAATTTCCCAAGCATGAGGGGAGTGGTAAAAAGGAATTTGAATGGGAAAATCAATGGGCTTAAGTTTCAGATGATCAAACCACAAAATGGAAGCCCAACTGGAATGTACACTCAAGTCAGGACAGGTGCTCCAAAGTCCAACATGGTAGTGACAGCTTCAGGGTTTGAGAACCCTTGGGCAAGTCGCCCTCAATGGGGCCCTACTCCAGTGCTCCTCATTTTTTCCATCCTTGCCACCACTTCATTGACTTGTAAAGAGCTAGTGAAAAGCAGGCAGTGACATTTACTGGTCCTCTGCTCCCCACCACTGTTGCCTGGGTCAGGGCAGAAGGCTGGTGAATAGACAGACTGCAAAGTATAGAGGAGGGACAGAATGATCTAGAATGATCCCCTGCTGGTGTGTCAGCCATCAAGCATACCCTCAACCTTACCTAACCTTCATGACGCATTTGAGCAAGGCTAACTAGTAATGCCAATGCTGTTAAGAGGAAAGAAAGCTCTTTTCATAAAATGGAAGGAGATAAAAAGGAACAAAACTTGTACAAAAGAAATGCAAGCACTCAATAAAGGATGAAAACGAACAGACACAAAACTAACATCAGAAATGGCAATGTTCAAAAAAATGTGGGAATCCCTATGGTTACTCTGCTGTTGATCTGAAAATTGTCATTCTTCAACCAAATGTGTTCCCAGTTTAAAAAATACTGGAATAGAATTTTTCAAGGAATTTGATTCTATTGGTTCTATTGGAATCAAAAACAATGGTTAATTGAGTGTTAATTATCAATGCTAAGACATTCATGCTACCAAAAACTGCTGTTGTAAAACATTTTTCTGCTTGTGTTACACACAATATATTTAAGCTTTATATAGAATTGTCACAGGCTGTACCACATCCATTTCCTGGCCACTGGCTTCCACTGTTTACATATTCATTTGTCCCTGCCTTTCCGCCTCTTGCCCAGCACTTCTTCTCCAACTGTCCTGGAGGCTTCTCCAACCCTCCAGAGCATATTTTCAGGAGAGCCCTGGAGAATGTAGTGAGAGGAAAGCAGTGAAGCTCCATTCTCCTCTTTCACCACTGAGATTCTCTCCTTGGATTAGAATTTTCCCATGGACAGAAGTAATCCTTCTATCCACACAAGGCGTGCTGGATCGAACCCTTTGCCTCCTTCCTGTGCAGCTTTGCTATGAACTTATGACAGTTATAAAGTGAACACGCACCAGTACTATCAGTGATTGAAGCTACAATTTTAAAATCACTTAGTAAAGAATGTTACAGAATTTCAGACGGGCTGTTTCTGGGGGCATGAATTAAAGGATGAAATTATTCTTGTTAAGGGAATTGGTGGACTTGAATCCTTTAAAGTGCGCACATCTTAACTGGCATGATTACATTCAAAAAGTTAGAACTGCAGCGATCCTACTTTTTGTAATTCAAATTCAGGAGCTTTAACATGCTGATCCAAACATTTATCTGGAAATAAGCTTTATTGTTTGAGGGAACTTACTTCCAAGTAAGCTTGCTTAGGATCAGGGCTTAAGTCTATCATACCTCTGGTCTTACAGGATCTTCTATGCCAACCACACAAATGCAAGTCAGGTCAGTTAAAATGTCATTTTCATTGTCCCAGTCTGCTTCAGGGCTGCTGGGGAAGTCTCGAAAAGCAACACAGATGGTTCTCAGTCCATCACAGGCCATGGGTTCAATCACTTTCTTTACCATCTCATCCCGATCACGGGGTCTGAAGACGCGAGGTTCACCAGCTGTGTTAAGGATCTTAGAACACCTGGGAGAAAAGGACAGCAACACCAAGCGAACAGCTCCTGAAACTATTACCAGACAAAACATAGCAAAGGAATTATGTTTCCAGCATGTGGAAGTGAGAGGTGTTACGTTTGGCACTGTATTAATTCTAATAATAATTAACTAGCAACTTGGATTTTAGCTTCCTAAGGGCCAAACTTCATGTTATGCTACTTGTGTAACATTCAGCCTGATGCATGGAATGACACATATGCTGAATTCAGGAACAAAGTGTTCAAAGCAAAGATGGAAACCTTACTTCTTTAGGACAATTTCTGAAGCTCCTTTGCTGTACATTCGGAAGCTTTCATCTGGCATTTTAATCACAGTGCTCATTGACTTTCTTACAGAGTTAAATGTGTACACTTTGTAGAGCTTCTCTTCAGGCATTTGATTCCGGACAGGTTGATAATCCTGCTTCAGATCTAAAACAAAGCCCAGTAGTCCACATTCTGTCTTGTTGCCAACCTGGCGAGGTAGACCACCTTCCTTTTCTGGTGGCTGAAGGAAAAGAAAACACCATGTTTTATATCTTTGCCATATCCAGAGCCATGCAGTATTTCATATATTCATTTATTTGGCTTTTGTTCCAACTTTCTATCAAGAATAACACTCAGTTTAAGTGTAACTTACAGGCACAATTATAATTGATTAAAGCATTAGAAGGACTGCATTCAGATACAATCAAATTGATTAAAGCAATAAAAGACTAAATTAAACGGTAGTCAATACATACAAATGACAGGCAATTTAAAAAAAAATTAAAGCGGACCCACTTATCGGCATAAGACCTTCATGAAGGAAATGCTCTTTGCCTGCCAGAGAAACAACAGTAGAGAAGGAGTAAACCGGGCCTCCCTTGGGAGGGAGTTCCACTGCCTCTTTCAGGTAGCCACCCTGGAGGTGGCAATCTTAAAAGAAGGATCACTCCAGAAGATATGCCAGGCAGAGAAAGCAGTCTTTCAAGGGGCCATCTCCTCAGCTCCATAGAACTTTATCTGTCATAACCAGCCCTCTGAACTGTTCCTGGAAACAAGCTGGTAGCCAGAGAAGCTGCTGTGGCCAGGGAGCTATGTGGTCCCTGGAATCACAGCCAGTCACAGTCTGGCTGCAGAATTCCAGACCAGCTGAAATTTCTGAACCACCCAGACCTTCTGTCAATGACCAAAACAGTTAATCCTCAACAAAGACAGATTTCACTGAGAGCAGCTCAACTGCAATATTGCCATCAAGAGATGCCACTTGCTCTCCTATAGCTTGAAACTGAACAAAGCTTTTTGTTTTTTAATCACACTACATGTGTTAATCAGCTTATCATCTCAAGGATGTCTACGCAATTCCCAACAACTGTTTCATGCGCGGCCACTAGGAATGTATGTTGAACCAGACCTGATGGCTTTTTTTCTGTAGAATTCCCAAATCTCCAGCATCTAGAAATAAATGTGGGAACTTTGGTTTTATGAACACAGGTGCATCACAGAATACATCATAAATCTGGATTTTTGAACACAAAATGAATCACAGACTGATTATGAGTTCCATGAGAGAGGGAAACAGGTGCCAATAAAAAGAGAAATTTTGAAAAGGTTGCAGAAAAAATGTATTCATCTCAAAATGTTTTGCAGACAGACTTTAATCAATCAGTGGATGTATTGTGTGTGTGTATACACACAATTTGAATTTGCACAGAAAAATCCGTTAAAGGTGCACACAGCTACATGGAACAGAACAGAGTTGGTATAGAACAAAATGGAGTTGGGGGTGGAAAAGTAAGTTCTGAACTATGCACAAGAGAAGAATCCAACTAAAGCTACATGTGCACAAGTGCAGTTGCACTAGTGGTTGTGCAGCCAGTTGCACAATTGATTGCACAAGCTTCATGGCAACTGCTTGTGCAACAGAAAGGTTCAGAGGAGTATCTTTCAGATTTCCACTAGCAGTACTTGAGTCTGTGGAATGACCCCATCGCATGCTGCCCTTTGGACTACAGCTGCCTGCTGAGTTGGGATACAGAGCCAGGGGCTGAAGTCCAAAACCTCTGGACACTGCCAGGTTATGGGAAGCTGTGCTAGGCTTCCCCGCTGCAGCTTAACATCAGTTTCTATTTTAGGTACTCATGAGCTCTGAATACACATCCATAAATGTAGATATAAACAGTTTCTTTAAAAAAAGGCTTGACGTCTGCTAGACCTGCCCCAGCTGCACAGCCTCCAAACTCAGCATGGTGTTTATCAGAATATAGCATATGGTGGTGGGAACGAGCAGTAGCACCTTCATTTCGGCAATGTTTCTGCAAAAAGAAGCTGCCTGCCAAGCCAGTTTCCTTTCAGTTCAGATTACCCTTTTAGTCTGTAGCAGGCAAAAGGTAATCCGGATCCTGCTTCCAACTGAGAATTCTCAGCTATGTCATGTTTATGAACCCACAGCAGGAAAGCAAAGAAACAAAAGAAATTCAGGTCCTCCATAATGATACCTATTCTTCATTTACAGTTTCATGATATCTAGACACTACAAGATAACATGGCTAGTTTCTGGACTACTTACTTTCTTGTAATATAATATTATGTGTAAATTGTAAACTGAACTGATACAGTACTTTGCATTTGTAATTTCTGTTATGCTAACACATCATCAATCTATTTGTGAATTTAGGTATGATACAGAAAGCAAGATAGTTAAAAATAAAAAAGAAACAAGTAAGATATTAGAAAGGAAGACAACTGAATTGCAAAACTGAATATACCAACTTTGACCCTATCTGGATAGGCAGAGCCTGGCCACAGCCGTGCTAGACTATTGTAATGCTCTTACATGGGGCAGCCTTTGAAGATGGTCTTGCGATTTCAACTGGCCCAAAAGCACATGTGTCCATATAACTTTGGTTTTGATTAAGTTGCACTGGTTGCCACCCAATTTAAAGTGCTTGTTGTGACCTATAAAGCCCTAAATGGCTTAGTACCTGGCTACCAAAGAACCATCTGTTTCCATATATGCCTGACCACCCATTAAGATCTGGGCAGGAGGTCCTTCTAAAAAAGCCATCCCTTAATGGGATAAAGGTAAATACAAGAAGGACCTTCTCAGTGGCTGCCCCTCAACTATGAAACAGGCTCCCCAAAGAAATCCTCCTAGGTCCAACTCTGTCTTTGTTTCAGCAGCAGGCAAAGATCTTTCTTCTCTCAGAATACTTCCAAGAACGATCTTGAAATGTTGGCATCTGTTGTTCTGCTTACTGGCTGAAATTCTGGTATTTATCTCTGAACTTTTTACCGTTATTTGAACTGTTTTTGATGATTGTTTTTAAAGTATTTTATCATAAACCACCTAGAGAATCAATCCGGCTGAGTGGGTGGCACACACATTCAGAAATAAGTAAGTACATAAATGGTACATGAAACTGCATGGTCAGAAATAATACACCAGTTATTAATGGAACAAAGGAAACAGCTACAATTAAGTAATCTTGAGAAAGGCATTTAAATATATCTGCTAATTAACTGAAGCTTTGATCCAAGTGGGATATCTGTATCCCTCCAAGCCTGAAGGATCATGAGCAGCCTGTGACAGCAGGATCAGTGCAGAGGCAAAGGCTGCCCCTTTGCAGTGGGCGGCAGGAAGCCGAGGTGCCTTCAGGTTACGTCATATTGTGGCGGCGCCTGTCTCCATTCCTCCCTATGCCCTGGAACACCACCAAGCCACTTCTCCCAAGGCCTTGGAGATGCAGCCAAGCCTAGTTCTTTCCAGGATGCAGGAGGGTCTCCAAGTGTCCAAGCCTAGCTATGAAGTTAATTTTTCATTCTTGTAGCTGAATCCCCAAGAAATCCTAAGCGTGTTGAAGTGCCACAGCTTTGCACTGCCTGTTAGCTAACTTGGCTGGTATGTTGGGGAAAAAAGTGAAAGTCTGCATGGTGCACCCAGCAAAGATATCTATGGGCATGCTTCAGCAGCAAGTAAAATAGTGCAGGAGTATTCATTTTTTAATTTGTAAGATTTGTATACCACTCAGTTGGCAGGTGACCTTGGGGGAAGTTTACAATAATAAAATCAAATAGTAATAAATAAATAACAATAAATAAAGAAATATGAAGTAATACAAGTATGAAAATAATACAGGATTAAGAAACAAAAACATGGAAAATATTGAAGAGCCAACAGTAGCAATAATAAAGAGAGAGATTAAAGTTTCAATGCCTACATAAAGAGGAAAGTTTGAGCTCAGCTTTTACATGTATGATGTGAAGACACCATGCAGATCTCTCTGAAAAGATCTTTCCATAGAGGATGGATGCTGATAGCATCATCCAAAGAAGATCCTCCGAAGATGACCTCAACTATTGGTCATGAATACGGGAGAAGGTATTTCAGGTAGACCGGTGCAAAGCCATTCTATGCCACCCCGCCCCCCCCGGATGCGTACTTGAAGGCTTCTGTGTGTCCTGTCAGTTCAATAGTGTTCTCTGCCACCGTGTCTCACAGCATGTATTTAGTTTGTATATGTCTTCTTATTGTTTTGCTTAAATATGCAGGGAGTGGACAGAGAAAAATTACTATAAGTGGAAATAAGATTTGCTTGCTTGCTAGTTGCGAAGTCACGTCCAACCCTTTGCGACCCCACGGACAACATTCCTCCAGGCCTTCCTGTCCTCCACCATCCCCCGGAGTCCATCAATAGGAAATAAGATACATCTCGGCAAACAGAAGAAGACTGTGGATGCTCAGACCACTATCCAGACTGAGGCGTTAACTCCCAATCAGCAATGACAAGAGCAGTCCCTCCATTGATAGGGTTCCTTATCTTTAAATAGGATTAGGATTAAACAGTCCTTTAAATGAAGGACTCCTTCAAACAAATTTAAGTCTTCTAGGAGCCATTTCAAATACAGTACTGTGCCCTGCAGTGCAGGACCCATGGCCTACCTATGTAGCAGGTGACTACCATGATGGAAGACCGTTCCAGATTGAGGTAGGTCTGGAAGGGATGACATTGAAATGGAAAAAACGGTGACTATGCGATTCAGATCAAAACAGAGTCCCTATCGCAATTATTTGCTGCTGCCAAATAATCTTAGCCAAATAAAATACTGATGGACTTAAGCCAAGACATAACTTTAAAACTGTGAGCCTGAAACTGAAAACAAATGAAGAAGAAAATTAACTGGAACATTTGGAAACAATTCTAATTCTGTAGAAATCTGTCCCAACCATAAATCTAAGCCAGAAAAGTTATGCAAGCCAGTGAAGTCATTCATCAGCAACTGGCTGATGAACTGGTGATAATCATCTCAACTTCTCACTTGCTATTGACAGAAGAGACCTTTCATGCATATCAGTAGAAGTGCTACTTAGTCCAGTGTTATGAAACAACAAAAACCTTATATCTATAAGGAAATGGGTTTCAACATCATCATAACCTTTTAAGTTTCATATTACTGAGATCAATTATTGACTGCTATTCAAAAAAGCTGCTACGGTAACAGAAACAGACTTGTATGTCCGGGAAGGGATCTGAGACTTTAATTCATTCAATTCCAAAGCCAGTTGATTAGCCCACATTGATCAACAGTTTTCCACAGTCTTCGATATTACATGCACTTCTCTCAGTTGGCATGGAGAGGCACTTCTTTGCAGACAGAGCAAATGAAGCAACTTGCGGAAACTGAATTTTTAAAAAAGTGAATCAATATGCTTTACAAATGAAATACTGTAAAACCTAAGGGTGCTGGAAAATATGATACTAAAGCACAGGGCTGCCAATTCTTGAATGAAAAATATCTGATACTGGGGAGAGGGGTTCCTGGTGAGGGATGAAAATGTGAAGCTCAGTGTAGGCAGGTGGCACAGCCTGATAGCACAGGAGCAGTGTCCATGAGCACTGATCGTAAGAGCCCAGCACAGTGGCCCTGCTGGGCTGCAGATCAGGCTGTAGACCAAATCTCGTGACAAAGAAAAGATCCGTGCAGAACTAATGACTAAACAAAGAGGGACAAGATGATTAATGCAGGCAAAGTGAGTAAGTCTGATTGCATTTCAAGCTGGAATGTGATTAAGAAATAGAGTGCAATCCTGTGGTCCACTGACATTGCTTGGGAGTCCCCTGAGATCCTGCAGTCTTGGAGCTGAGACGCGAATGGCTGAGGCTGCAACAGGGTGGCGAGAGAAGGCGCTTGAAGCAGCTGGATGAGAGCAGCAGTGGAGGCAGCGCTCGCCACTGTCACGCTGGCTCCTGCCACTGGATGCTTGTCAGCCTCTGAATTGGAGGCTCAGGTACTTCTGCTGCAGGAGCAAAAGGACTCTGTCCTTAAACATCACCTGCTTCACACACCCAGAGCAACTCACATCTTCTCACCCTCTGTCATCACACACAGCGGTGCTGCCCATTTGCTAATTTGCACTAGCTGGGGCTCAGTCCTACAGCACTGGGTAGCTACCGCATGCCATACTCTGTCTAAGCTAGGAAGGAAGCTGCTGATGGAAAGACAGCGCCAGCCCTCTCTTGTCACTGGCCAAGGAGGCGGGAAATGACAGATGATCAGGTTCACCACAGACTGGTCTCTCTCCTTCCTCCATTGGGATCTCAAGAAATACCATGGGAGGACCGAATTATCTACCCCTCTCCAACACTTTACTGAACCTCTATATGCTAATATAGTTCTTCCCCCCCCCCAAAAAATACCCCTCATAACCCAATTTCACTTGGATAAGTATCAAAATTAAGGCAACATTTTAAACTACTTCTGTAAATGGGTTGCTCCACACTTTTTCATATTCCTGAGATGGTAGAATCTCAGAAAGGAGTGCAAAAGTGATGACACCCTTGGGAAGCAAATGATACTACTGAAAGGGGGATGAACAAGCCACCATTTCTTTTCTAAGAACAAAGATAGTGTATATTTTTGCTTCCTTTTGACAACTCACCTTTTGACAGCTGTCAGATGTAACCTAAGATAAAAATAAACTTATCTGCAGTGGGAAAACACCCCAGGTGGATACCTGCTGGACTTTGCTGGCAAACCTCCACCATCACCTGAGGCTCCCCATTTGCATTTTTGGGGTGCCAGCAATGCAGATCACCTGGCAGCTGCTTGGCAGGAGCAGTGGGGTTTCATAGCCAATTCCCCATACCTATGATGGGACCAGCCACCTGGGCTTCGATGACATGACCCCCCATATGAAACCTCTAACAGTCCATGCCCACAAACAAGCCACCCTAGAGATGTTTGCACTTTTACGCCGTGTGAGACTAGTCACTGAATCCATACAAGGACACCATGATTGGCAGTCTTCCAGGCATGTATCCTCTAGACATTGGGGCATCCTTTTTGAGTGTGTTCAACTTTGGAATGAGTTTCTTGAAAAAGTTGTGGTCTGTTCTTCTTTGGTGGTTTTCTGGAGAGGTGCCATCCTCCTTTCCTTTGCAATGCTTTTTCAAGTTCAGTTTGAAAATTATTTTAGAGTGCAGTTTGATTTTACTCCTTTGACTGCTTAGAATTAGGCTTAATTCATTTTAGGATTGGATTTTTTTTTAAGTATTGTAAACAATTTCAAGCTTGCAATGCAACAACACATAACATACTTGAAATAAATAAATAATTGGAATTCTTGTTTTGCATACTGCAATGGTCTGCACAGTGTTTTACCTTTTCAGTTCATTGCTCTTAACCTGTGGTTTTTAATCCTACAGGAAAAAAAGATTGTTGAGGGAAGGATCAATCACCTGTGGATATAATTACTGTTCAGAGCATGAATCTGTTTTAATAAGTATGCACTCTTCATTTTCAATCAGCATGAAACCAGTCAGTTCATGGTATACTCTGATTCTCCTTTCTAAATTTAGCCTTTTCCTTCAGGGAAGGTTAAATGGATAACCTATTTCATACAAATATAATTTATTCATAACTCCTTACATAACATTGAAGGTAATGTTGTACATGAAAATGTACTGTTACAGTGAAATTTGCAAGCATTTCCAGCTTCTATAAAATGGACTCTCCCTATGATTTTTCAGTCCCTTTATGGAAGGATTCTAATTTTTTCATAATAGAGAGGGAATATGTCACCACTGCCAAAGGAAGTGGTGAGCAATTATTCCCTCAACCTCAATCTTCATGTATCATTGGCTACTTGGAACAGAATGTGGATGAAAACATATTTTAAATTTTCAGCCAGATGTGTATTCTCATGCAGATTATTGGCTGATGCATAACATTTCTTATGTTGACATTGTCATGCAATGGGCAGCTAGAAATTTTACCAAATTCCCCTTCCTGCCTGCTGTGTATGCAGAAATGAATTATTTATTTATTACAAGCATTTGTATCCCGTCCTTCCGCACAAGCATTCAGGTTGGCTTACGTAATAAAATTCCAAAATACAATAATAAAACCACAATTATTAAAACATCTAAAATTGAACATTATAAACTAAAAAATAAAAAAGGAAACAATAAAATAGGAAGTGCAACTGTGAAAACAAAAAACAAAAAATCTTAAAATGTCTAAAACCCTTAATTGTTAAAATGCCGGTTAAATAAAAAGATCTTTACCTGGCGCCGAAAGAGTATAACATCGGCACCAGGTGGACTTCTCTGGGGAGCACATTTCATAGTCTGGGCGCCACTGTGGAGAAGGCTCTCAAATCAAATATAATGGGGCTTACTCCCAGGTAGTACACATGCACACCTGCATGCGCACACATAGACGTGTGTCAGCAAAACATACCAATGTGGATTTCTCAAGATATTACACATTACAATACAGCAGTTTAAGGTGTAGAGACCCTTCTAAGTATCACCAAAGGCCCCCAAGTGATTTTTTCCTTCCAGCCTTTAATTGTCTGAAAGCAAGGCCTACTTACCAGAATTTTTGTAGTATAAGCACTGTTGATGGCAATTGCATTAACCAGTAAATCCAGAGTTTTGGCTGGAATGGAATCTGGGTCAGGGATCTCTTTGTAATGGACATCTCCAATATAGGCTTGCACTACTGTCATCCGGTTGGTCGTTAACGTCCCTGTTTTATCAGAGCAGATGGCTGTAGCATTACCCATAGTCTCGCACGCATCTAAATGACGGACCAGATTGTTATCTTTCATCATTTTCTGAAGAGGAGAAACATAAAAGCTTATTTTGGTAAATAGGTTGAAAATCCCTAATGCTAATAAAATGAATAATCTTTTTTTAAGCATGGCATATGCATTCCTCTTTCCTCAAAATTATATTTGCCCTTGTAAAACTGATACATGAAAAGCAGACATACGGGCATCTTAACACTATTCCTGGAATGGAGGCTTTAGCAGATGCCAAATTTTTTGTGAGTTTTAAAAGGAAAATGTGACAATGAACGGAATAATAAGACAATTTTCTTTCAACATCAATTTAAAAGCTGAGATGGATGGGGAAATAGAGACCCAAAAAGTGTTAGAAAGAAGTAGAAAAAGATAGATTGCATCCATTCTGGTTTTTTAATTCTTTTGTGGATTGGCTCCAGCCCCTGTTCCACTCTGCCTACTTTCCAATTTTATGTGAAAGATTTCTATAATTAGTTCTGAAAACAGAGCATGCAGAGTTCACTCTTGCAGCACTTTCTGTTCCTTTCATTTATATGATTCTTTTTCATTTAGGTAAGCAGTGTGCATTAGTGATTATGAACATTAAAACACAGCAAAATTTTCTTTGTGTCCTTTTAGCACACAATAGTGCAAACTATTGCATTAACATTCCTTTTGGTTAATCATTAACTTGATAGTTCTTGATGCTAGTTCACAAACTAATATGGAATCCACCGAGCATATTAGCAAGATCTGGTGCTCCGTGTCCAAACACTAATAATTTTTAATCTAAACATTTGGGGGGAAATAAAACAATAGGTTTTACAGGCAGCAGGACTAGAGTAGACTGGCCCATAAGTTAAGCTCAAAGTAATATTAAGAACGTAAATGCTATATTCTTACCCCTTATCCTCCCTCTTTCCCCTTCCCTCCTACCTTTACCACCATTTTGTTTTACTTTAGCTTGTCTTTTTGTTGTTGGGATTTTTTTGTTATGTAAATACAATCTAAAAGCAATATGTAATAAAAGATTAATTTTATTTAAAATAGAGGCATGTTATAATATTATTCCAAAGAATGCTGAGGAATGTGCAAAGAGTTGTGATGAGGCAAAGACCTGAAAAACCATTACAGTGTGTGCTTTGCACTGACAACACTAAGCTGCTCCAGGGCCATCCTTCTGTGGGTGGATGGGCACCACTCACAGAAGCAGCTGCCACTTGACTTTCAGGGCTGAATCCTTCCCTTGCCCTGCCGCCTGGCCCATGAGGCAGACTTCCCAAACCCTCTGCTTACTATGCTTTGGAGGTCTTCTGTGCAGCAAGGGGTCAGTCAGCGCTGCTGCACACAATTAACCCACTCAATGCAAAGTAAATCAACAGAACAGACAAAGTTTGTACCGTGTGTGATCTTTAAATCATGACATTACAGTTCAAGTTTTCATGAATAGGGCTATCCCTTTATTTGTTGCATGCTTTCCCCCCCAATATCAACAGTGACTGGCACTTTTTCTTTGTCTGTCCATCTCCTCTACCAGAGGAGGGCCAATAAAATGGAAGACGCTTAGGAGGCAGACAGAGGCACCTGCCAGCACCTTTGGAAAAAAGGCAGACCATAAATTCTATTAAACCACAATCAGTACGAGTTCTGTAATCCTAACGTAGCATACACGAACTACTCTGCTATACCGTAAAATATTTATTGCCAATTCTGTTTTAGATTTCATTTAGTGTTTGAGTTCTCATCAATGTGCATTAGGATTCTGTCCTGGTTTGCCACTGTGAGCTTGTGTTGTAAAAATAACCAAGAGACTTGTGGCACTCTGAAGAGTAACAAATTTATTATGGTGTAAGCTTCAAAGACCATTTTATGAGATACATAAAAGCCTAAATTGACAGACATATATATTTTTACACACACACAAACACAAACACAAACACACACACACACACACACACACACAGAATACCACCAAACCAGGTGCATATATTCCTGTGACAGTGGATACACTTCATGCATCCAGGAAAGAGAATGGTCCACAGAAGCTTTTGCCATTGTTTTTGTTTAGGGTTAGAGTATAAAGTATCACAAGACTGTTGATTTTGGTAAGGCTGCTATAGTAGATTAATTCCATTACTGTAATTTGATCTTCTATAGCAGAAATTATTCATACTTTACAAGTATTAAAAATCAAAATCATGGATTTGCATATGTTACCTCCATATACAAATATATTTATTGATTTGTCCCCAGTTCTAAGTAGAATTTTGGAAGTCCCACCAATTACATTTGTATCCAACTGTCCCTCCAAGTGGGATTCCTCCCATGTTCTCCACAGAACTTATTGTGAGGAAGGCCAGGCCGAAAGAGCCACTGACTCAGTCGCACCTAGGGCGCTTGGCTCTATCCACTCTAGGACTCCTAATCAAAGTCTACTATTCCATTCACTATGCTGCAAAAATCATTCCAACAAGGCCGTTCCCCTCCAGAGTAAAGCCCATTCCCATTGTGTCTAAGCCTTCAGGTGAGTTGTACAGGCAGCAATACAGAGTGCAGGCTTCAGAGGGAAAACAGCTGTTCAGAGTATCTCTCTTACGTTGCATTTGGCTTAGCTTATTGGTTGGGAAAGCATGTATGAGGCAAACATTTTCACTCCCTTTTAAATTATGCTAATCTATGGTGCTTTGCTACACATTGCACCATGTTTTTAAAAATGCCCCCCTGCAGCAAATTAAATAATATTTTAATTTATTTCCATTTTGCAATAATGCTGTGCTTGCTTTTCCTCTTGGTTCCGGGGCAGCTACTTACCTTTACGGAGTAAGCAAGGGAGATGGTAACTGCAAGTGGAAGTCCTTCTGGGACAGCAACTACCAGCACAGTAACGCCAATTATGAAGAATTTGACAAAATACTGAACATAGATGGGAGTGCACTCGGGCAGCCAGGGCTTCTTGCTGACTACAAAGTTCTCGATAGTAAAGTATAACACTAGAATGATGACTGTGATGGCAGACATCACCAAGCCTGGAAAGACAAAGACAAACACATGTACATTCGGTCTGTGCTCTGACAAACCAGTTTCGTATTTAGTATGTGCAGTTCATGTTGGATGTGCTTCAGGTTTATTCATTTTATTTGTCGTCATATTTCTATGCTGCTAAAAATTAAGAAAAAAGCCTAAGCACTCTCTATATAAAATATTAAAATCACATTTAAAATGCAATGTTCAAAACAATAAAATGCAATAGTAACAGTAACAACAACAATACAGAACAGTACAGGGGCAGTCAATATGGTTGATTTCATTATGGAATGGGGAAAACCTAGGTGAACAAGTATGTTTTCAGGAGGCATTTAAAAGATGCCAGAGTTTCTGCCTCCCAAACTGCACAAGTTTTGTCCACAGGTTAGGTGCTGCTATTGAAAAAGCCCTTTTTGGGCCTTTTAATTCTGGAATGCTTAAAATGCATGTGCCTTTGGACCACAGCCTGTATGCACCAGGCTCCAGGGTTTATCTTTTCTTTACATCATCAGTAAAAATGCCTGTGTTCGTTACTCAGCTTCCTTCACACTTTCTGTATTCCAGCTGATACCTATGACTTTCCCAGTGGGATTTACTTCCAGTTAGCATAGAGTTGCAGCCCTAAACGTATGTCTAAAATGTATAGTATGCCTATGACAAACACAATGCTTGATAAAAGTCAGGGTTCCATGGCTGTCTGAAACTCCCTGTAGAACAGGGACAGGGTCCATTGAGTCGCCTCCATGACTCCGTGCAGGCTTTCCCCAGTTTTGATTTCTTGCCAACAAAAACTCTGCATCATGCCGCTCATCATAATAGCCAAAAAATGCCTGTCATACCTGCTTTGCCGATCTGGACAGCCAATTTCGTCAGCTTCCCCTGAAGAACAGATTTCTCTTTCTTATGCATATTGGCTTTTCTCTTGTCCTTGTCATCTCCATCTCCTTCTGCACTCTTCAGTGGCTGCATCTCCATTGCAGCAGCCCCATCCTGTTGTTTGGCTAGCAGTGACAAAAAGGAGAAACTGCTATTGAAGAATTTTAGTGTCACTTCTAAATTTTTATTTAGAAAATAAGATCTCTGGAATTAGATCTCAGGGTTGTGCATTCTTTTAAAAAAGTGAAGAGCCAGATTATTTTGGCAGAGTTATAAATATCAGAGCAGTTTTGAGTCTTCACATTGCTTTCTTCTCTATATCTGCAAGATAAAATTTTAAAGCTACACAGCAAAGATATACACTAACTAGGGCTTATATCCTTAAAAAGAAATTTAACTTCAGAAAAGCTTTGTCGCTAGCAAATACACAATTTTCACACTTAAAGACTTGCCTTTCTTTGATTGCAGATCGAAGATCACATAACTATCTTCAGATATTATGAAATTCTAACTATAACGGACAGACATGACATGGGCTTTGGCACCAATCATTCCAAAGTGACCTGTCCCCTCTTGATGGAGGATGTCTGCAGCAATGCTATAATGTCTGGCTGTGGTTAAAGTGACCAGGAACCTTACCCAGTCCCAGTTCCCAATCATGCAAAACTCTGTAACCCAGAAGTGCAGTATGCCCTATAAGGAATTCTCAAGATATCTCTCAAAATACCTCCATCAAATACCTCCAGTGTCTCAAAATTCCTCAATCTTTTTTTGTAAGAGTTAGGCCCATTTATTTATTTTAAAATCTATGCATACATGACTGAAGGTAGTTGGCTGAATGCAGCACATATCTAGAGATTGCCTCAGAATATGAACTTTCCTCTGTTAAAAATTTTTAAGCAGCGGCTGAAGGCCTCTGGGGTCTCTATCTGAGGTGTTGTACTGAATTTCTGGCACTGGTAGAGGGGCAGACTAGATTGTTGAAGTACTATCTAGCTATAATATTCTATCTTTCTATGTCCTTAAATTTTACATTTTGTTCTTCACTTTGCTAAACACCATATTATACATGAATGCATGTAATGAAACCCTGACAGGCTGATGCTCTAAAAATGGTAAAAGCCCCCTTGTAACTTTAATTCTAAAGCAAAGGGTGCTTTACTGTTTTTCTACCAGCCATTCTTCTACTCAAAACTGCTCCCTCAAGCAACTTTTTCTGCATGATTTCAGATGCATATCTACAAGCACTAGAATAGATTACACCAAACAAATGATGCACCTGGATTAGCATATGCCAACTGAAACTGATAAATGAACTGGTATTGATTCTAGTAAATCCAGACTGTGTGAAGATCTATACATGCCGCTGATTCCCTATAGAGCAACAGGATGGGCATAATGTTAGGTTCTCAAAGAATGCAACTGTGGTGAGAAACTGAACTCTCCCTACAAGCCATCTTTACAGCCATTTTTTCCTTCCTGTGGGTTTTCAGGAGTGGGAGAAATGACACTAGGAGAAAATGGCTTATAAAATGTAGGTAACAGTGAAAAAGGTCAGACAAGAGGAATGGTTCAGATCTTCCTTTCCACACAACCTGCTGTGTTTTAATTCCTCCCCCTCCTCACTCTATAAGGAATTTGGAGGACCTGGGTTGAGTCCTGCGGCTGTAGAAGTCAGAGGGTGTCCTGGGACTACCAAACAACTATATGGAGAATCCATGTCAGCACACCATAGTTTAGAACCATTTCAAGGACTTTTTAGGTTCTAAAGGCCTCTTAGAAAAGCACGACATTTTAAAAACCCATTTCATCTGAAATAGCAATAAAAAACTGAAATATTTGCATGATTTTTGCCATGATCAGTAGATCTAAGAACAAGAAGAGAGATAAGGAAAGGTAAGGTAAAGGTCAGTGCTGAAATAGTCAGGAAAATGGGATTATATAAGCTGCGCTGTGAGTGCCTCTTTGATTCCATGCAATGAGGTGGTGCAGAACACACTTTGAGCTTCTTCAGGTCCGATCAAAACAGATGGGAGCTGTGGTCTTTCATTATTTTAATGGCATTTTGCAAGAGATGTTTTCAATGCCAAAGTATTTTACTGGATGGCTTCAGTATACACTGTGCAGCCAATCCCTCTGGAAAATAATGAATTTAGCATTCCCTAGCACTGAGAGTTCTTTCAAATATTATAGAGTCTCTACCCGAAACTTAGAAACATATCTTCATAGTCTTTATCTTCTTTATTATTCATGCATATCTAGATTTTAAAAACAAATGAAGACAATGTTTTATTGTTCTATATCATTTAGTTCCCTCTGCAAACAAAAAATGTCAAAACACTGCCTTTAGAGAACTGGAATAAATTGTAAATGAGGAAGGAGAAGATATATTATTTACTAAAGGAAGTGATATAAATAATATATCTAAATTAATAGCATAAATACAGAAGATGATAAAATGTGTTGTTTAGATAGCTAAATGGGAATTCTTTCAATGCTATATATCCATGGAGTGGATGTGGAGCTTTCTTATAGAGCCCTTTTAATGTTGATTTTCAACTAAAAATATTCAGCACTTGTTCAGCTGTGCAACCTTTCATATGTGACTTTGCAGGACTTCAGCCCACAACTGTTTAAAGCTCATATATGTTACAGTACTCTGCTTTCTTTTATCTTTTTTTAAACAATTCATAATGCAATGCCTTAAAGATGGCATTGGCAGGTCTTCCTGCCACACGAGTGCTCCACAGCAGCAAACACAATATCAGAGCACTGATGAAAAGGAAAGTGCAGGACTGAAGCAACAGCAGCAGCAGCAGCAAAAGAAAGGACAGGTTGTGAACAAGACCAGCCTCGGTATTTGGCAAGAGGGGGCCAAGGCCCAACATGGCCGACTAACTTTCTCTAACTTTTTAAAGCTTCAATCCCTTATGAATGACCCACACGGTACAAGAGAGTGCTAGGTACCGTCCAGCCACCACTGTTTTCTTTATTCGAAATGCCTTTAGGTCCCACCTCCAATGCACAAGGCACAGAAGCACCAGAGGTAAGAAAACAGGCAATGGGAACCGCAGCTTCCCTTTACTGAAAGATGATGGACAGTTGGATCCACACTGCCTTCAGTGCCACGGCTCACCCCTCTGCTGTCCACCACCACTGCCTGGCTCTTGACCCTTGTAAGCTTCGGAGACCCACTGGAACCCACCTCGTCCAGGGTTCTGTCAACACCATCTCTTACCCTGGTTGCAAACTCAGCTCCTAAAGCTTTTATGATGGTGTAACAGGCCAAAGAAGAAACCTTGATGATTTATGATCTTACTGAAATAACCGTATCAGCGTTCTCCTGCCTGTTACTCCAAAATGAAGGTGGGGATAAGCTATGACATGCAAAGCATCATACATAATCATTACCTAGAAAGCAGAGATCGATACAGATAGCTAGAATACAGAGAGAGAATATCTAAGCTAGTGTGGTATAGTGGTTCACAGTGTGGGACTGGGACTCAGGTGATTTGGGTTCTAGTCCTCACTTGGCCAAGGAGCCAGGCAAAGACTATCAGCCCAACCTGTGATGATTTATGATAAGATTGAGAGGAGGAGAATTACGCAAGTTGCCTGGAATTCATTGAAAGGAAAAATGGCTGCATATAAATACAATACATACATACATAAATGATATTTGGAAGAGCAGAAGCAAAAGGTTCTTGTAACATGTGATGCTCTGAATAGGACAAGTTAGTATCATTCCTTCTTTTGCCACAGGAATACAGCTGTTTTCAAACTACATTCCCAGCCTCCCCTAAAATATTTATATGATTTTACTTGCTGAACTAAATTCAAGTACAGTTTTAGAATCCTGCTTAATATGAAATAAGGTTACCTTTATTCTGGTTGTTTTCCATATTTCCATCCTGCATTTTGCCTATATGATAAAAATTGCAACAGACAGAAACAGACAGTAAACAATCAGTACACACAGACAGAACATGACAAAGGGGAATTCAAATAAAAAGGGCCAACAAAACTAAATGAGAATGTTTTAAATAAAGTTTAATGCAGATTGTTATGATGTATTTATATGCATGAACGATCTTTCTCAACAAAAAATGTACAACCAAGGTTATTGTTTTACCAATTAGGCTTCTTCTGTTGCAGTAATGATAGAAAATCATATGCATTTTGTTTGTATAATACAGCAGATCAGGCAGTCGCTCAGGCAGTCTCTCTCAAGCATCCTATTGCCAGGGAACACTATTCACACAGACCTGCTTGCCACAGAACCCATAGAAAGGAAAGGGTTCTAGGCATGCTCAAGTGTACAGGGCACTGGCAGGTTGCCCGTTCTTGCTGTTTCCCCAAAAGGCCTTTGTGGGAGCCTCAGCACAAGCTCAGCTGGGGATGCCAAAAGATGCAGCATGGGCTCTTACGGGAATAAAAAGTGCAGAACTGAGGTAGTCACGGACTCGCCACAGAACTGAGCTATTTCCTTGTCCCAGCACCCTTTGCTGGCCTCTACCCCATCCCCAAGGGCCAGGAGGAAGTCACCTTGATGGTCAGGAGAGAGAAGCAGGCATCCGCGATTTGCACTGGGGTTTTCCCTCCCTCTCCCACCCTCATGTCTGCTTCAGGTGAGAAAAAGACACAGCCAGCCAATTCACACTGCATGTGTCTCTTTCTTCCAGGAATCTTGCTGGCTCAGCTAGAAGCCTCACAAATCCCAGCTGAAAATGTGGCTGGCTTGTAGTTAGAACCCCTTGATGCTCATCAGAAAAAGGTGCTGCTCATGCCATGCATGGGCAGCATCATTCTGATATGACTGCAAGGAGAGCAGGAGAGGCAGCTTCTCTCCTGCCTTAATGGAACCTCCGCCACTGCTTGTTCCCCCAGCCTGGTCCCCAGAGTGAGTGGATTTCCCTTGTAGGCACGGGCAGTGTGGCAGAAGAGAATTGTCTCCTTCCAATGTTCCCTTGAATATCCAAAATCCTTCCTGCTGGGGCTGCTGGTGGTGAATGTTCAGTAAGAATGCTCAAACAACCCAGATTGATTTTCAGGGCTGGCAGCCTTATGCTCACTCAGTGGCTTTCTCAGTTGGGCTTGCAGAGAAATATTCATGCGAGCAGCTGATGTGTAGGGATGCTTGCTTTCCATTACTACTCCTTCAAGTAAGGAGTTCTTGCTATACTTCTTAAGTTTCAATACTAAAACATCACTGATTTAAACCTAATCATTTTCTTAAATGAGAAGTCCTTCTAAAGAGCTTCTCCCATTATGTACCTTTGCACAAATTAAATCTTTCAAAAAAGCTACTAAAAAGGGACACGGTTATCCTTTAAAAATGGCACTCACTAGCAACATGTTTTCATATTATAATTTAATACAATGCTATATCTGGGATTGGAGATGAAGAGTGTCAAGTACAGTCTATAACAGGATGCAAGTCCACCAGTTATATGTATCAGATTGGTCAGATTAACAGATCAATCAGTCTGTGACTACTGAGATTATAAATGAGCAAAAAAAGTAAACACTGAATTCTGGTTTTAAAATTTGGAAGAGAACAATTGTAGTTAGAATTCAAGAGGGAATCAAACCTTAGGATTACACTGTCAGAAAACCAGAGACATTTCTTACAAATAAACTGGAATTCAGTTATCATCAACCTACAACCGGAGATTTCCCATGGAATGCTGTGTATGCCAAAGGTTCAACCTCCCAGAAATCATTCCTTATTTATTCCAGTGGAGGAAGGTGATAATTGCGTGCATTTCTTTTAAGTGCATATCTATTTCCTCCACTGGAATTAATGTGGGAACATGAATATGGACAAGCTCCATGTGCATACACAGGTCTTTCAGTCAGAGACATCAATCTGAATTGATTTATTTTCCATGAGAATGTCAACCAATTATGCATAAGAATGGCGACATTTACAAGGAAACCTTCATGTCCACTTGGTTATTGCAAAGTTATTTCCTACTAGTTACTCACAAAAGGGAATTTGGCTCAAATAAAATTTTGATGAAATAAAATAATCATAATGTTCTCTAATGCCAAACTGCATTCTTTTTAAAATTTTATATTTTATGCATTATTCAGTACTATTGTGCCCTATAATTGGACTTGCCAAATTCCAGTCATAGTGCACATGTTTAGCGCATGTTTATAGTGTGCATTTCTACAATGTTACACTGTGACAAAATAAGGAGTACACTGGATCTTTGTTGTGATATTCTGAACTGAGGACAAACCTTTGAACATACTATCTGACTACCTACTATTCATTGTCATCCTATTCTGAAGCAGTATGTGTAAATAATCTTTATCGTTTTTCATTAGCTCGAATCAGATAAGAACATTCATGTTCATTTATTCTCATCTTTATATCGTCAAAACATAGAACACCAAATACTTATTTTTAACACTTGAATAAATATTCTGCTAGCTCCAAGGTCTATTGAACAAAAAAAAAATTAACCAAATTCACATAGAAATTCTGGATCTGGCACAGAGATATTTGGCATTTTAGGATTAATCCTGGCTCCCTGTTGAAGCCAATCATTAGGTTTTTATTGGATGAGGTTAGGAATTACAGGTCAACATATCCTTGGACAATCGAGAAATCCTGAGGGCAAAAATGTTTAAAATATATAAAATAAGTGTGCTGAGTAATATGTTATGGTCTGCTTGGAACATAAAGGCTGGAAATGAGACTGCCTGTTGGTAGCCTGCCAAATGCCGGCCAAGTTGTTACCTGTTGTTACTGTTACCTAGGCAGCAGTCATGGACCTTGCTAGATTAAGAATTGTTTATATACTTGATAGGAAAATTTAAAAGGTCAGGTTGTGCTAGTCTAGCAACGAACATTCTGCTTATTCACACTGGCTCATAAATAATAGGCCGATAGACTGGCAGTGAATGAGGTCTTAAAGGTCAGGCCCTTCTGGCTAAAGAACAGAAAAGGGCAATCCCAGCACTGTACAACACAGATTCCTAGAAGAATCGGATTTTTTGAGTTTACATATTTTCACAAGGCTGCATGATCTGTATGGCTTAATTTATGGAATTACTACTTCTAGCCCAGTATTCCTTCTAAAAATGACGTAAACGTATTGCAAAGGGTGACAGCATTTTGGGACAATAATTATGTTTCCTACATTTAGGAATCTTGGAAAATGCTGTACTGAATCCAACCAATGGTCCATCTAGCTCATTGCCTGCTCACTGAAGGGCGGCTCCCCAGGTTTCCTGAAGCCTTTCCTGCATTACTGGAAGAGCCTGGAACTGTCACCTTCTGCATACAAAGCAGAAGGTGCTTTCTCTACAGCGCTTCAGGGAATGATTGGATCACATTGGCCAATCACAGCTGAGCGCCCCAAACCCATTTAAGAGGATCCTGTAACCCTTCTGAAAGAGCTGTCTGGGACAACTCTGTAGCTGATCTGTTTGAATTAATTTTTGTTCAGTTCAGTGTTTGGGTCTTTGCAGTAGTTCTCAGTCACTTTTTTGCTTGTGGTTTAAAGTCACACTTCCTATTATTAAGGCCCAGGCTGACAGAGCTGCCAAAGGCACAGGTGTTCTGATTCCAGAACACAGCATTATAGTTTGTATTCCTAAGCCAAACCTTTTCTGCATATTTGTTTTGTCTAGTGTACGAAGTGGCACTATAAAAGCAGTACTATTGACCACTGTTAATCTATAGGAAATGATTGGCAGATTTTGTTTAGTATATGCAAAGTGTATACAGTGTAATGGAAAATGTGTTTTAATTGCAAAGTTAAAATGATGCTTCATCCGATAAATGGCTGCCTTCAAAGGAATTCTATTGCATCTTTTGTTGTAAAGTCCTCTGGGTGAAATTATATTCTAGAGGCTTGCAAAGCAAGGATAGGTAGGTTCAGCCTACAGAAACAGATGAAATTCTGATGAATTTCAAATGACTGACTCCTAAAGGCAACAATTATTGAATAGTATTTTGAGAATAAAGGTTAGCTTTTTCTGGTTTGTATACATTGGCCCAGTTTGGACAAACACATCTCAGCTTAACAAACTGAGATTTCAGAAGACCTTTGCCTGTGCATACCATCTTCATTTTGCTTCTTCCTCCCCACTGCAAAAACAACAACAACAACAACAACAACCCACGAGGTCTTCAATTAACTATAATTTCCTGTTACAACCATCTTTGGAAAAAGCTACAATGTTAGCTCCTCGCTTGTTCTGCATCTGGTAAATATAATTTCCCAGTTGGATGTAACAGAAAAATATACTGAAATGAAGACACCATTGTTTAATCACAGTGTGCCCAGAAGAGAAGAGTAAGGGGGGCACACTAGTAAGGCTCTATTAATGTAGGATAAAGTGTACTTGATGTTCTCACTGAAATTGTCTACTGAAACAGATAAAGGAGTGACTCCCCCCCTTTCCAGCCCCTGTGGAACTTCCCAGACTTCCAGCTTCCAACTCCTCCCTCCTACTTCTGAAGCCAAGCAGTTCATTATGAAGACTCCATAATGGTTTGAATGGTTGGCAGAAGGATGACTACTAACCCTCCTTCCTCTGGTTTCTGTTTTTGGTAGAGCTGGTAGATTTAACTATTAAGTTGCCAGCTTGTTATATTTTCTTAGTAAAGTTCACATGATCCATTATAACACCCTTAAGATTTGACTTTTTAAAGGTAATTTTCTGCTTTATAATGAAGAATGGAGCAAAATGCATGTCAGTATCAGAACCAGCCTAGACACAGGTCCCTTCTTAGCAGACTGTTGAAGTGCCCCTTCAGAACTTTTAAAAATAAGCCCTAGATGGTGCTATTGCAACTTGGGCAAAACAACTGTAAGTTGGTTCCTCAACTGTAGCAACCAGCTCCTTGGCCCAAGGAAAACTGCTTTTGAAGCTTTGCTAGCAATCAGCAAAGTCAAAAAACCCCCTTTGAATAAGCCCAAGTAGCTGTTTTTGTAAAGTATGGATGCTTTTCTCACATGCCCCTTTGTTCATGACTCTACATTATAGAGAAAATCTGTGTTTCCAAAGCACAGGGTCCACCAAAAGGTTCTGTGCATCCTAAACAAATGGGGTCTGTGTAAGGACATATTGGATGCTTGAATTGTGCCCATTTTGTCTAGCAGAAGTTGTGCAGAAGAGCTGAATGTTTCCAAGTTTAAGACTGGTGGGTGGATTCATTATTCTTCTGAATATGAAAAATCCTAGGATTCTCTGCCACTGAGACTCCAGAAAATACATCAACGTTCTTTTTTTTAAAAAATCCACAGGATACATAATTTAGTCTTTCATATATTATGATGAACAGTGTACAAGATCTATACTTCTACTGTTAGTAGTGCCAGAAATAATGAACTACTACATGGAATCCAGAAGCAAAAAAGTAATATTGCAAACATAGTTAGGAAAAGCAACTATTCTATCAAAACTTGAGATCAAAATTCACCCATTTATACTTAATATAAATTTATGTCCTTAGAAGACAGTTTACAGTATGGGCATGCTAAGAAATGGTATCAAGAAGCTGGCCACAGCACATTCCGATCTAGAAACTAAAGTTACATTTGTTGAAAGGAAAAAAATTATGAAACCATATCCAAGCACATGCACAAGAGTAGCAATATTTTGCTCTCCGGTATTATCACCTATAGTAAATGCTTAGCTGGCGCTGAGTCAAAAGGTTGTGAGAAAGCACAAGAAAGCATGACAATGCTACTGGTTGTGTTGAAGCCAGATTCCTGACCCCCAGCAGAATTGTTTCCCCAAAGCTATGTTGAGACCAAAAATGCTTATGAGAGTGCCACATTTGAAAAGTACAACGAAAAGGGAAATACACAATCATGCTCTCTTTCAAATATACACTGAAAGCATGGTGGACGGTTTGACACGGAAAACCTTGTGACAAAAATGGATTCGGGAGACACTTGTGGGCTGTTTTTAATAGTTTGAATGCATCATAAGAATGCCTTCATTCCTCCTTGTTCTCATCCCATTGTTGCTTCAGTGAGAAACAAAGGTTTGGCCGGCTAGCAAAACAGTGGGATTTGTGGCGTCTCTTATAAGCTGCGGTACAATAGGAGCTCTCACACGGTAATCACATGCACATACAACATCTGTGCAGTTCATAAGAGAAAGAAGGAAGCTTATATAGTAGGAGAGAAATCCATCAAATAAAAACAAGCTAGGTGTTCTTAACGTACCATTGACTAAGCTGGCATTTGCATTATCAGTGGCATTTGCACCTGCTGCCCCATCTGTAGTTGAAGGAGGATGGAAGGAGGTATGGGAGGAATCTACTAAGTAATAATGAATAAAAAAAGAATAAACCATAATAATATGAACAAATCCACATGACAGAAACCCTAACAATTATGGACTAACGCGGCTTCATTTTTTACCTCCAAAAGAGATTTGTTTTAAAGAAAGCAACGTAATGTCTAAAAATGAATGTTATCACAATGTTACAAAAGCAGGAACAAAACTCATACGTGGAATACTATAAAAGGAAATGTGAAAGACATTTAACAGAGTTAACAGATAAATTTGGTGAAAAAACTGACTTTACACAGTACGTTTTATTCTTCTACTTCTCTAATGCAGACATTTTAAAATTGCCTTCTAAAGACAAGGACTTTAGTTGAAGCTTAAAAAAAATAAACTGCTCTTAATCACCTGCAGTTTTAGGATCATCCATAAATAACGAAAACATTACTATGTCTAGAACTAATCTACCTGAGGTGCCCTATTTAAAATCTTCATTCATTTTTAAAAGAACACAGTAGTTTTCCAAATACAACCTTCACAAGTCTTCTCAGATCTGACTTATGCTCAGGTAGATGTGCATACAATCCCAGCCTCAGTGTTACCCATAACAGTGAATGTATCCACTAGCTAAGTTTGGCTAGTCTCTTTATATTTGGTTCAGGAATTTAAAGGGTTATTACCAACATTCAGATTTTTATTTTGCATTAGATGAAGACAGAGATTTTAAAAAATCAATCACACTTCTAAAATGTCAGCAGTTTTCCTTACAAAATAGGGAACAGGTCAGGCAAGAAGTTCCTTCACATCAGGAGGAAGCAAAAGTTCCCAGCAGACTTTACATTGATTGGAATTTAGCTGTGCTAGAGCTGAGTGAATAATCCACAATGAATAATTGATCAGACGCAGTTTCTTTTTCTTTCTTTCATTCATTCGTTCGGGTTTTTTAAAACAACTTTTGAACTTTTCAAACTGATTATGCATTGAAAAGTACAAACACTTTAGCAAATAATTTTGGCTTTTAAACATGTGATTTTGGCTTGTTTTTAGTGTCATATCTATCAACATCTGGGTCTAGCATCTTATTTAGGTGCTTAAGTGGTGCCATAGTTGGAGCTGCTATTCTAGAACTAAGTCCTAAGATTCAGGTGGTGCCTTGGGATTTCAGAGGTCAGCAAAGTCTGGTGCTTGCTACAGGCTGGTAGGAAGCTCACTAAGACATGGAGCCACCAAACTGATGTCTTAATATTTTAGGGAACATGGTCCTGGGCCAGATATTATGAAAGCTCAGGGACATAGTTTGAGCAGCTAGTAACCCAGCACATTCCCTTTCTTGGCTGTCTGATCTTCCCCATTGTTACAGGTCCCACAGAGCTCTGATAACGATTAACTTAGCCTACTCACTGCAGTAACACTAGAATCATTCAGTTTTTCCCATAAAGTTGAGGGGGCCAGAGATTCAGGACAGAGTAAAGGAGAAAACCCTTCCTACAGCATCGTGTTCATTTGTGGAATTTACTGCTGCTAGATTTGGTGACAGTCACTAGCTTAGATGGCTTTAAAAGAGATTAAATTTGCAACTATTAATGGATCCTAGTCAGAATGGCTATATGCGACCTCTAGGATCAGAAACTGTATGCCTCTGAATTCGAGAATGAACATGTAGAGTAGAGGGATACAGATTCAATCCCTGCTTGTGGACTTCACAGATGCCCTTGAAGGAAACAGGTTTTTGGTCTATATAAGCACAGGGCCTGATCTTTTCCTGCTATGAAGCATTGGGCCTGCCCTGTGCATCAAATCACAAGCTTCAAGCTTCTCAGAAGGCATAATCAGTAGGCAAGTTGAGCTTCTGGTTCAGGGAAGCTCCACTGAATTCATCTGGCCAGCACAGTTTGCAGCTGCCTGCTAGAGTGAGAGTTCCCACCCAACCATTAGTTTGACCATCAGGTATAAATATACCTGTACATTCCAATGGCCCATCTGCAATTCAGCCTCTGGTCGCCTTCAGTGCCAAGCCAAATGCCTCTGTGAATCCCACCAACAGCGAATGGCATCCATATCCCTCTCTCTACACCCACATTTTAAATAGACTTTTTCAAAGGATTTGCAGTAATAGCAGTACCAGAGAATGACCCAGTGATAATGGAGAGATAATGAGGAGTCCAATTGAAATTCCATCCTACTTTAAGTGAAAGAGCAAATTTCTTGACCATTCACTCAGGTCTATTTTGCACCACCCATGACAGGACAGCCCCATTTAAAAGCCTCAGCCTTTCCTCTGATATGGTAGATTTCTTACTCTACCTGGAAGCAGATGTCCATCCTCCTGTTTCATACCTGTATGATGATTTTTACAAAATGTTAATGAGGGAGAAAGGCAGACACTATAGAAAACTGAAATGCAAACACACATGACTGATAGGCTTTAGAAAGCTTCAAGCATGCATACATTCAATGGATGTATGATGTTTGTGCTTAGAAAATATGGACGTACTCTAATGAGCACTGCAGCTGTAGATCACAGTCCTTTTCAGCAAGGCTCATGCTGGGATCTGACACAAGCCCTGTTTGAAAGTGGTGTGCGGACAGCAGCAGTGTCTGAAAGATTGCGACTCCGCGTAGTCTGATCGTTACACTGCTGGAGACCTGCTCGAATGACTGAAGAATGAATTTTGAGAGCATTTTAGATGCTTTACTGGATATGTAATGCCGTTTTATGAAAACTAGATGACAAACATGGATTTATTTTCACTTATCTCTCAGCTGAATGTGCAGATTGGCAGCTTATTTTGTTTATGGTAAGGAAGACTTTTTCATCGTAGCAAGAAAGAGGATATATTAGGGGGAATTAAAAGTGCCGTTCTCATATAAAAACAGGCACAATGTGTAGACAAGAGAATTCCCACAATGTAGGAATTCTGTTGGGGAGGGAATAATCCAGTGGGTGTTTTCCAGTTCAGCTCCAGGGATTTCATTCTGTTCCCACCCCGCAAAGGTGTCAAAACTGAGACTACAGATTTCAGTCCTTTTTTAATGGCAGCAATCTTGAAATTTGCACCAATTGTAATTTGTACAATTTGCTTTAAAATGTCAAGAGGTTTTTCCTCACAATTGTATACCTCTTCACAGGGCTGTGAGCCCCCTGCCCCCACTTAGCCCTGTTGAGAATTCCATGTAAAAGGAAGGGTGAGTTTTCTGTCAAAATCATCATTTCTGTAAAAAGCAACAGCTCCTGTAATGGGGGTGTGCTGGGACCTGGGTTTCCTCAAACTACAAGAGAGTTCTTTGGCAAAACCTCTTTATTTCCAATGTATATCCAGCAAGCTACAGCCAGCACAGAAAGAGCCACTGAGCATGCGCAGAGTGGTTCACTGAACCCAAACCAGAGACTAGTCCCAAACCTGTTCATTAACCCTGGGACCCACCCATCTGGATGCCCCCTGTGCTGTGGAGATGGGCAAGGTCTACGCAGGCCTTCTAGCTAGCTAGCCCTTTTCTCCTGATGCCACATCATGTGATCAAGAATCAGGTCAGGCTCTTCTGGCTCCTCTCCCATGTCTTCTCCTGGCACTTCCAAACCCAGCTGGTTCTGCCTGAACAGCTGGAGATGGTTGTCTTGAGATAAGCTCTTCATCTTCTACCATCTCTGTGTCTGCAGACCTCATTTCCCAGGCCTCCCCATCCTCATCCAGTCAGGGTCACCCTGGTCCTGGAAAGCACACCAAGAGTAACTGCCTCATTCATTCCCAACAGAGTAGTTCACAGTTTGGTTCCTCGTGAGCTTGGGAAATGGTGAAAAAGGTGCAGGACATGGAGAAGTGTCAGGTCCACATATAAAAATTTGTGATCACACTATGAAAGAGGTGAGTCACCAGCCAAACCGTTTTTCAAATTCAGGTCTATTTTCTTCCACTGGACAGCTTGTTTTTTGTTGCTGGGTTTTTTTTAATGGAAAAGCAACATGTAATTTATATGTAGTCTTCTTTTCTTAATGTTCTTGATGGTGCCTCCTGCACTTTGACCGGAAACTTTTCCCAGGTACTGATGTGGCAAGAATTTCCACAAGTGCATAAGTGTGCACTTGAGAAATGCCTTTAAAAAAATGCAATTTATGCAAATTACCATTTGCGCAAATTTCAAGCCCAGATTTAAAAATACATAGATTACTTGTGCACTTCAAAAAAAAGAATGCAATTGCAGTCCATGCTGCTTGCTGGATCAGAAATACTATAGAATTCTGCTGAGCTTAACCAAGCCAGAATTTGCTGCACTGCCCATTTCAAGTGCAGCCACTGACAGGCTGTACGGAAAGACACGGCAAAGCTCTTTGTCTCACTTGTTGACTCCTTAAAATTATTGATATTAGATATGAAGCGCTTAGTCACCCACTAGTGTTTTTGGAGGAAGCAGATGTTGATCCGAACTGATCATATTAATTCACAGATATCATAGATTCACAAGCCTAGAACAAACCTGAGTTCAGTGTGCATTCTATCTGCACTGATTATTGTGAAATGTATGTTTGAATGCTTAATATAAGAATTGTTCTATAGAAAAATATTACACTTGGAATACACATTGCTTCCCACTTTGTAAAAGTCTAATTATATCTTTAAAATGATCTCTGGAAATAAAATTTTAATAGATGTTATTTTTTCAGTGTGAGGAAGTGAATGGTGGATTGCGGTAATTACCTGCAATACTGAAGAGTACAGGAGTGCTTCATGGAGAAAACTGCCCACCAACCTTTTCTATATACACATGACTATAAGAAAAAATCTGCATGCATGCAGTAGATTTGTCTCTTCCTAATTTTTCTCTCTTCCAAGTGTCTGAGCTGCAAACCTGTAATCAGTTTCCTAGGACTCAGTAGGGCTTCTGAGACAATACAGATAGGGTTTTATAATAATATGACTTGCAACTGTGCACCAATGTCATTGTTGAAGACGTGGTGCATTCTGATTTAGATGCACTCACAATAGACTGCAGGTTAATTAGATTTAGGACTATGCAACATAGAGACAGGGAGCAGAGTGAGCTTTAAGGAAAGTTAACAAAGTATAACATTACCAAAAACATAGCTATTAATCATTCCTGTACTAGTTATGCATAATTTGATAAAACAAAGAATCAATTTATTACAATTAAGATCACAGCAAGAAGATTTGAATTGGCTGCCGTGTGTGGACAACAACCTCCCACCCATTATTATTACTATTTTCTCCAAAGCCTGAGGATTTTCTTCAGATTTTATCTTTCATTAAGGTTAGAAAAATTAAAAAATTGGCTTCCTAGTTCTGTAAAATAAACAGCGATGGCCACTTAAATTTCCATTAAACGTAAGTTGCTTACTTTCCAGGAAATATTCCACAAAGAGAATGATCTCTGATCCAACTGTTCTTCCCATGGATTGAAGTACCTTCCATTTATAGAAGGATAGTTCTGCAAATGGGCGCTTTTCCATACCTGGAATCTAATTATTGGATCCACCCAGATGTGTTTAGAAAGTTAGGCAGGTTCTCACCAACTATGAAACTAGAGGTCACTACTCAGGTGTTGGCATTTACTGTGTATTTTATTAAGAATATAACATATTATATTAATTGTGTTGCTTGTATGCTACTGTTGAGACCTGCAAAATATATTGATACTAGCAACATATAAAAGCTAAGCATATAAATAAATATATTTTATACCAGTATGTAAAATCAGAGAAAAAATTAGATTGTATAATTAAACTCCTGCATGACAGGTAAGAATTTGCTATTTTTTTAAACTAGAATACAGATCTCATTATGCCTAAAGCTTTAATGAGTCTTGGATCAATAAGGCAAAATGTGACCCACACAAATGGTTAACTGGAGCATGTAGCTGATTTAGGACCACGTTCTTACCTTTCCCTTCACACATTTTAGGTGTATAATGTTCACAATGGTCCTCACAGGTCATGACTCATGAACTGATGGGACTGAATCAGCATAAATTCAAGTACTCCTGTATAACCAGTTACTGTATTAGACTTATATCATCAGTGCAAATATTGAGTAAGGTAAAATTAAGAGATGTGACTAAAGTCGTACCTTTCTTATCTTTCTTCTCCTCTCCTTCTTCACCAGCACCTAGTAGAGTAAAGATTATCCCTGTCTGAGAATTAACTCCCACTGCAGTCACAACCATTCTTCCAGAACCCTCCATGACATGAGTACCTAAAAAGATAAAATATAGACATAATTTTAAAAATATTAAAATATTAATCATTTAAAAGGCAATACTCAGAACAATAGTAGTAAGTTTTTGTGGTTTTTAAATCTGTGGTATGGGTGATAAATTCAAACTGAAGGCCACAATACAATACAGAGTAAAGCATTCTTTTAAGTGTGCTGAACTCTACAATTCTAAAGTGAGAGCTGGCAGAGGCTGCTAGATATGAACTTGATAATTGGCCAAGCAACAGTTTCTCAGCCTCAATCCCATGTTGTAATATGAGATAATAATCACATGTTGTACTACATGCAGCACTATGTATTAAGAGTACAGCACAGCCTTCTTCATTTCTGGTCTGCATGTGACTAAATCGAAAAGAAAGACACAAAGGGGGAAAACAAGGTTACAGCTGGATTGTGTATTTGATGCCTGGTTTACTTAGTGCAAAGCACTTCCATTCATCTAAGGAAGACCACCTCATTTCCACTGATTCTTCCTAAGTATTTAAACTTCCCCTGCACTCCAAGCAACATCTGAGAGTTGGACCCTCTGGACAGAATGGGGCTCGAAGGAGAGGAAGCCACCACTAGATGCCAATAATTAATGATTATGTTTATTTCAGGACTGTGCCAAATTTCTGCCACAAAATGGGGGTGGGGGGCAAAATAAGTGCTTTTGCAGGTGCAAAGTGCGCTCCATATCCAGCCTCAACTGTTCAGCTTTCTGCAGCCACTTTATTCCCTCTTTCTGCTGCTTCTTGACCATCATTTTCCTTCCCTCTCTGTGCAACCTCTGCTAATCAGGGACCTTACAGTAGGCAAACTGTATTTATCCTAGCCAGTCAGACTGGTAATCCTCTATAGAATGTCTTCACTAAAGCAAGCAAACTTTATTTGTACACATTTCTATCTTGACTTTCAGTATAAAATTGGACAAAGGGGGGTGCAATAATCATAAAAAGGTTTGAATATAATTAATAAAATTAAATTAATTTTAAACCTTAAACCAGCAAATAAAAGGCTATTAAAATATCTTGTATAGTATTCAAGTGCTGCCCACTATGCAGATAATAAGTTGGATCAATTCTGTGGCACTGTCTTCCCATAGTGCTTTGCAAGGCCATTTCACTGGCTGTTAACAGCAAAGAACAGAAAAAGAGAGAGCCTTAGTTGCCTTGCCATGTATGTTCTCTGACTGGATCCCAGGAACTTCCCAGTGCAGTCCGGGAAGACAAGGCAGAGGCATCACCTGGGCGCTTTAGCAGAAAAATGAGTTTTACCTCCTTGCAGACTGAGATTAACACCCAGCTGTTTTGGCAATGAAGAAACGATTTGCTTTCTTCACTCAATGTGAACATACTAGCATACCCATTCACATGCTCCTTTGTGACAAGAAAAAGTTTGCAAAAATGGGTCTCCAGCTTTGCCTCACCTGATGTATTTACCATTACCTCAGTAGTATTCCAAGGGGCAATATCAGCTTACATTTATACCCATCCCACTGTTCCTAAATTATCTGGAATGAAGAGTGAGCACTGATGAAATCTCATTTAAGGTGGTGAAAACAGAACAAACAAAATCTACATAGCAAACAGCTCCTTCAAAAAAACAAAAACAAAAACAACCCTCTCCAAAAATTATATTGTAGAACTGGAGAGGGTGCAGAAAGGGATAACCAAAACAACAGGAAGGAATTACTTCCCTACAAGGAAAGATTACAGCACTGTGGGCTTTTAAGCTTGGGGATGGGGTGGAGTGAGTAATGGAAGATATGATAGAGGTTATAAAATAAAACATGAAATGTGGAGAAAATGGAAGAAGAGTGCCCCTTCTCTTTCTCTCCCCCTGCCCCCTTTCTTTCTCATACTACTAGAACTCCACACCATCAGATGAAGCTGAATGGTGGGAGATTCAACAGATACAGAAGGAGATATTTCTTCATGCAGCCCATAGTTAAACTGTGAAATTGACGACCAGAAGACATCCTGAGAATCAGGAGATCAGTGGGCACTTGCCTTGACAGCTATCTATTGCTTCTGGTACCTGTGGCAATATTCCTCTGGGAGCACAACCAGCAAAATGCCACTGAAGGGCCCCTGTGAGAACTGAAGGCTGATCTAGAAAGGCTTTCCATCTGATCCAGCAGGGCTCTTTTTAGGTTGCCAAGGGAAGAACGCTGTGCATGTATCACAGAACAGTAGAGTTGGAAGGAGCTAGGAGGTCATCAGGTCCAACCCAACCCTGCTCAATGCAGGACTCCCAGTTAAACCTTCCCCTTCAAATGGTTACCCACTTGTATGGCTAGAAGAAAAAACACTACAGAACCAAGAATACCTTTCCCCCTAAATATATATAAGGTTACACCCGAAATTATTGTGGCTATAATCCTATGCATGTTTGCTTGGATGCAAGCCCTTCTGAATTTAGAGAAACTGAATTCTTAGTCAACACAGTGAGTTGCATCGAGATCAAGATGCATGTAAGGAAATTGGTGGTGACTTGCTTTCTCACCTGCATCCCCTTTGCAATGATTCCCCTTCCCTATCAGCTCATGTGCCATGGCCTCTGCCCTCAGGACCAAAAGAGGTTTTAACTTTAAAATGGGTTCCTGGCAACCATGGCTTAGTTTCATTTTTACTCTAGAGTAGCTGCAAGGTTACACATGGACTTATACGACTATTTAAAGTAGTTTGTTCAAGGCCACAAATGGCCCATTTTGTGGGCCTGGAGAGCTGCAGAGGGAGGAAAAAGTAACATCCATTTGGCACCAAACAATTGGACTGGCCAATGTGAGTATTCAAGATCCATGTGGCAAATTCTAATCCCGATTTAACTGAAGCTAAAAGCCAAGCAGCATAATGGCTCTGGGCTGGCCCTCTGCTCAAAACATACCAAGATGTTTTCCAGTATTTTCACCTGCCTTAAAGCATGCACAGGTAATTTCAGATGTAATATACTATATAAACGATACATAAGTGGGCTGTACATTTTTAATGCATTCATTAATATTGTATTGTGCCCATGAACACAATGTCTTTTAGATCCATTCGTGGAAGACTGCCTCAGCTACAGAGATACAAGAAATACAGGAAAAAGAGGAATGGTTCAGAGGTAATAGCAAGACACAGTGTAATTTTGCTCCTGACCGCTCTTTCAAACAAGGAGTTGATATTGCCTCGGAACCTACTTTCTACAAGATATCAACTACTGATGGGGTATTCCCTGAAATACATCTAAAATGTGTTGTTTTTACAAATCTTCCTGTCAGTCCAAATTCTTTCCTTGCATTTTTGAATGTGGATTATTGTTAGACCTATTAAAGAAACAATAATATAAACTGAGTTATGTAAGTGTACCAAGTTATATTCTTCTTTGTGCAAGTACAAAGTACACTTTTACCATTTCTTAAGCATAAAACGTGTGAAGTTGTTTGTCATATACACAGAAACTATAATTAGCAGTAAATTAAAAGAGATAACAACACAAATCATTTTAGTGGTAACTGTTTTCATGTCCCTCCACTCCCAAAACACTTCTATGTTGTAAAATAGTGACAGATCCTTTGAGAAATCATAAAAATAAAACCACCATCATTTTGCAGGGTTGTTTTAAGTACCTCATCCTTGCTGCACAAAGTGCCATGCATTTTAGTTAGATGACCCTTTCTGGCTGTCTGGATGATGTTGCAAGGAAATGGAGGAAGGAGGCCAGGGTGCTGTCTGGATGTGACACAAGGCGCTGGCCCAGCCTCTTCTCCCCGCTGCCTCCTGGGCACGCTCCTTTTCTTCTTTTCTGCAGCTGATTTAGAATCGTGGAGGGCAGCCAGCACAGCTCTTTCATGCTGGCTGCAGTGGGGCCAGGAAGAGGGCTCGGCTTTTGGACTCAGCACCAAGGCTGCAAAAGGTCAGGGCTGGGGCTCTGAATAATCCAGTTTCCACCCCAATGATGACTGGAGGGTGTAGGATTATGCCTTTACAGACTTTTTAAATCAAATGTTATGTTTCACTGAGCAATGAGGAGACCCTCAACACACATTTGCACACACAACTTGCAGTGGATGTCTTTCTCTACTTCTGTCAGTAAGAATAATTCTCTATCATTTTGATTGCTGTTACTAAAAAATGACCATTTTAATTCTTTTCTGAATAGGTCACCTTTATAATCCCATTTTATCACCTTTATAATCCCATATAAAATTGAGTGTGGCCAAAAACAAACCAAAACCTTCTCTTGGGTTCTTCTCATGATGCTTTTTGAGATGGGCTCTTCCCATAATGCTTTTTGAGATGCTGCCTTCTGTCCCGATCATCCAGTCTTAGAATGGTAATATTCTAATTCCTTCTGTCAAACATCCTGGCAGCCGCAACACCTCTGACGCCAATGCCTGGTGGTTTCACTGCCTTAGTAAGATTTCCTTCCTTCCTGCCTGCCTGCCTGCCTGCCTGCCTTTTTCACTGTCAAGCATGCAATAGAATATCCATGGCCAACTGCTAGGTGGTTTCTGTATCTCCAGGGATCTGACCTTACAAGCTGTAGCAGCAAGCACCCTGATCCCAGCTGAAGTCTTTTGGTTATTGTGCATCACAGGAGTTTTTGCAGTTCTTGCAAGGACATACTGGGAAATGGAATCAGGGAAAAAGCCCCTCACATGTCAGCTCCCACTGCAGCTGGTATGCTCCTGCAGCCACCACAGGGCCACCCAAGACTGACTTGCAGAGAGAGAAGGAGAGATTCTACCTTCTCAGGTCATATCCTGCACTGCTTCCAGGCTCTGGAACTCCCTGCTGAGGGAAACCTCGGAAGCTCTTGGATTCTGCCAACGTGAGAAGACATTTGTATTCAGACAGGCTTTGTTCCAACTTTTAAATGGACCTTATCGATGACCTCAGTTTTAATTCATGAGTGTTTTTGCTGATTTGTGTTTTCATTGGTTTTTGTTTTAACTAACATTATTTTATTTCTATTTGAATATTGTTAGCTGCCTTGAGCACAACTTTTAGTGG